AGAAACTAAGATTGGCAACTAGTTTGCCGTTGATGGATTCAGCTTGACACCCGTTCTCACGGTATTGGAAGGCATTGGAGGACGTCTAGTGACCTGTGTGCACCGTGGGAAGTGTTGATTGAAACTTTTTTACTGGTGCTTATCTATTTAGTGTTTGCGGTGCTTTGCTTTCTCCCGTGCAGGCCTGCAGTCAACATCCTCATGAGATAATGTTTGTTTTTTCATGAATCCCCCTCTGCCCTCTTATTATTATTTATAATGGAAGGTGAAGAGTGAGTTAGGGACACGCTTTGGTGATAAAGGCCTGATGATGCCTGTTTGTTCAAAGTCTCCAAATGGATGTACTTTATCAAGCTGTGTGCATCCATTCTCTTTGTTCAGATGATCCCTGGGGTGCACAAGAAGTCGCGGGGTCAGTGTCTCCTCTGTTTGCCTCTGAACTCACTAACACTGCATTTAATTAGTCCTCTAATCAGCCACTGAACACACAATAAAATGAGACTCTGTATCTGTTTACCTCCATCTCAACTCTCTAACACACACACGCACACACTTTGCATATTTGCATGTATAGTTGGTAAAAAATAACAATCATTTATCAGTGAGAAAGATCAAGGTCGTGGCTCCTCTTCACACCCGATTCCCTGAAACCAATTAAACTGTCGGTCGGTGAAGTTCAGTTGGAGGACGGCAACTGAAAACAATAGCAGATGACAGCTTCTCGGCGCTCCCTCTGACTGCGCTTTCTTGTGGTAGTAATTATATTTGCAGATTCTGTCATTAAGACCAAAAAGCCGGATACGTTTTTACAATCAGTCAGATATACTTGAAACGTTCTGCTAAATGGCCTTGTCAGCATGTGGAAAGAGTCCCATGTCAAAGATTCTGTTGGAGGTCAGACCTGAGGAGGGACTCAAAAGGATCAGATGTGATCTGCAATGGTAAATCAAATTGCAGGGAAATTCAAGAGTTGGTAAAGTAGCATAATGAAAGGAACGTGCCGACTCCACGCAGAGCGGAAGGTGCTGGGCGGTGTGATCCCAGGACCTTCTTGCTGCGAGGCGACAGTGCTAACCAGCACACCACAAACGGCTTATTTTAAATAAATGGTGTTTTTAAATTCGTACGCATCATTTGGTTTTTAAGTAGGTTTTTTTAACGTTTTTTAAAACTCAAAGTCATTCATTCAAAGTCCACCTACAAGATTAATCCCAGTACTTTTAGCCACATGCAGTGGATAGATTTTGCTCTGCAGTCATGGATAGTGCAAATACTCAAATAAATATTGAAAACTTTATTAAGAAATGGAATTATTGAATATACCAGATTAATGTTGTGTGTATATAGAACTGTTGCAGATGCTTTACACGGTTAATGACATATGAATCACTAAATGCTAAGAAATCCACATATTGGTTTATCACTTTTATTGTACATTCTTTAATGAATGCGGGGTTGAGCTATAGTGTTACAAGGCATTTTAAGGTCATCATGGTTTATTAAACAAAACAAATTAATGAAGTATTTCTGCTATCTTCATATATCATATGGATTTTACACCTTCACAGTTTTAAATTGGCTGATTAACAGCGAAGCGAATCTTCACCTGAGAACAACCGCAGTGCCATCTTCCGTCTCTGTTGTCAATCAAATGCACGGCCCTCGGCCCCGGGTTCTTCATGTTTCACTGCTGAGAGGACTAGATGCATAAAACATGCTGGACTCTCAGAGGTATTCAATTTAATGTGAAGACTGAAATCTTCTGCCATCAGGAAGCCATATTTTTAACAGCGCAAACCAAAAACCTGTCTGAAGTACCATCATTTATGACCATCCGTTCATAAATCACAAGTACTTATAGTGAATGCAAAGTCGCACAGTGCATGAACTGGGAAAATACATGCGATGTAGTGCTACGTTTTTGTTTTGTTTTTCCAGGGAAGGTGTTAAAAATAGGAGGTACAGTGCGAGGCTGCTTATCACGGCCTTCAATCTAAACCAAGATGGGCAGGCGTGCCTGGATATTCTCTCGGCCTCACGAGACGTTTCCCCGTGTGGGCTGACCGTGCTGGGAGAAACGCACCCGTTCACCGTTCCATTCAACAAGCAATAACTGGCTCCTCAGCCTCTATGCAAAAAAAGAAAGAAAATGGAGAGCAGCAGACTCGTTATCTAACTGGCTTTTGACAGCTGCGGCCTAGCGGAGGGACAGGAAGTGTGAGAGCGCGCGTGCGTGTGTGTGTGTGTGTGAGTGACACACAAAGAAAAAAAAAAAAAAAGAGTGCGAGCGTACGCATGTAGCTGTGCATGCGCTGAAACGCGTGTGTCCATCCTCATTTGCATCGGTGTGTGCTCGGCCGTGTGCATGTGAATGTGTGGCACAGTGGACCAGAACAGAGCTCTGACAGTAGCAGGGCCGCTGCTCGCTGATGCCTGCCTGGAGGAGCTGACAGCGGCTCGGCCCGTCAATCACAGAGCATGCCCACTAGCCCCTCCATTCACATCATCCTATCTTGTTAACTCTAAATCCGGCTGGGCACTGTTTATACACTCTGTGTGTCTTTGTACGTGTGTGTGTGTGTGTGTTTATGTGCGTGTCTCGGCGAGAGTGTTGGGGCGGTTTATCCTTCTCTTTGATTTGTTTCTGCGTTATGGTCTTCGCCACATGTTTGAGACGGAGATCAATCCAGACAAAGTGATGAAAAACTGCTGCGGGATTGCTGAGGATCTTGTGTGGGAGTTGATTCTTTTTGATTTTGTAGAAACAAAATCCAAGCGGCGGATTCAATGCATCGACGCCAAAGTGTCGCTGGTTATTTTAAAATGTTCGAGAAGTATTACAATCAAGGCACCTTGCAAGCCTCCAACAATGAGACAGATTCAGTCGCACCAGATGTATTTTTATCCAAAGGTCTCCATTACAGGCCAACCATTGTTTTTATTGGGAGAAAGTGACCAAGAGCTCCTGTAGTAAAAGGTAATCTCACACTAGGGATGCACACTAATGAGAGCCTGGCTTGTGGTTGGTCCGTTCCACAAGGCTCTTAATTATCAGCTCACAGATGTCTCAAAGATGTACTTATATACGAGTATGTTGTATAGTTGTGACGGCTGCAGACAATCAGATATAATATTTATATGTGGTCAGTCCTTTACTTTGATGTAAGATTTCAAACCATGTTAGAGGCAGTTTAACTAACATAAAAATAAAACATACACAAATTTGTGGTTGTATTTCATATGATAAGTGTCCATCGTTCAAATCAAATAAATATCATCTGTAGGTCGGTTTAGGGTTTTGGTATAATTCATTTCATATTACAATAACAATATGTTTTGTCCGTGTGTACCTCCATGATGTTTCGAGCAGTTTGGATTTAACTTTATTGCACTATAAACGATAATATAAGCGATTCCTCATAAGATATAGCATAAATGTACTTTATTAACATCAGGATCATTTATAGACATTCCATGCAATATGCAACATTCCTTTACTCCACATGGTCAGATTTCCATTCACTAAATTTGCAATAAGTTTTATTGTAATCTACAATAGTTTTCATTCTGTTCTTGTTACATTATTGTTACTTATCTACCTTGTGGTATCAAACTGGATTTTATTTTCTTCTTAACGCAACAACCCTACTTTGACAGGGACAGACATTCAGATATTTGTTGAATATGAATACCGGACAGACACTTTCTGAGCCGTTTTCTGTAGCGCTTCATGAGAAATTGTGATTTAGTTCTGTCTTCCATGTCAACTTAGATTTATCGATTGTGAGCTGACAATATACCAGATCAAAAGTCATTTTATGAAATGGCCAACAAAGCATGTGTATGAGGACGCACTTGATACTAAATAGAAATTATTTTCTATTTAGTAATAATTTTCCTTCCAAAAAAAGTGATAGTTATGATCTTAAATGGTTTAACTTGTACTACAATTAACTGTAGCATTATCATAATTGATCAAAATTACACATGTTAATAACCCAGTAACTTTAAAAGAAAAGTCCCCCATGTGAAGGTGCAAAAAATTAAAGCTGTTTGATAAAAACTTTTAAACGTGTTAACTTGTCTTATTGAAGAAAACATATTTAACCATAATGTTGTTTAAATTCTCAAACATCATCCACTTCAGTCAGTCTGTAATTAAAAGTTTAGAGGTTTAGTTCTGATTTAGTATGTGTCACATATCCACGAAACACTAATCCACCACCCTCAACTGTGAAGAGAAAGTATGGTATGAAATGGCCAACAAAGCATGTGTATGAAAGGGTACACTATTATACCTGGTATAATAGTGTACCCTTTCATACACATGCTTTGTTGGCCATTTCATAAAATGACTTTTATATATATATATATATTTATCGATTGTGAGCTGACAATATACCAGATCAAAAGTATATATACCAGATATATACCAGATCAAAAGTATATATATATATATATATATATATATATATATATATATATATATATATATATATATATATATATATATATATATATATATATATTGTACTGTACTGCATTTGAACAAAGAGATATCCAACGTCTCTATGTAAGAAAATAATCGTGCTAGTCTCCATCCATCCATCAGGAACTAATTATGCATCCATAGTTAGAACACTACTAAATAAACTAACAGCTTTCCTAAAAAATGGCTGATTTATTGGACGGAAGTGATGGGGCTTTTACTGTTCCCTCGTAATTTCTGGCTTCCACCTCTTCAGACAGATTACGACAGTCATCTATACACCGGTGCAATAAATTGGATAACTTCTCCAGAATTGATCACTTATATCCCTACTGACGACAACAACATATGCCGAAATGCACTTTGTTCGGTAAACATAACCCCTTATTAACTCCATACTGTAAACATATCGCAGAAACCTTGGAGGTCATCGTGGATACGATTGGATATAATGTGAGTGTGGTGAGTAGTGGAATTATCCGATAGTTCAGGAAGGCATCACAAGGTAAACGGCAGGAATGTGGTTTTTTTGTGGTTGTTTGTTGAAATGTCCGTTAAAAAGGGAACAAGAGGATTGGTCATCATGACTGAACATATCGATCTACGTTCCCCGTACATTTAAATTATGAGCCACCCCCTTTGATTGCCCGATTCTGCAGAGCTAGCTACGGAAGCTAACGCTTATGTTTTGACAGCTGAGCTTGTTTGAATTGCCATAGGCTAACTAGCTAACGTTGGCTAGCTAGCTGACGGACGGCAGCTTCTTAACCGTTAGCTAAACAAACAACATAAGCTGTACGGATGCAGCTCCCCTCGTTGAAACACGTCACTTCAGAGAGCAACACTTTCCTTCGAGGTAACGCTAGTACAAGTAAGTGCAACGTTAATGCCTCTGCTACCGAAATGAATTTAAAGTGACGTTAACCTGGAGCGACGGTGTTATGAAAATGTATCCAGCGCTAGTTACTGTAAGCTAACGCTAGCTGGTCACCTGTCCTCTGCGCACCGTCACAATGATAGCAGAGATCATCATTTACTGACGTAATGCTAATCAGGCTAGCCATTTCTCAGTAGCATTGATAAAAACAACTTGGCAAGGACCAGCCGAATGGCTATGTGCTGTTTGCTACGCGTAGCATTACCTTCAGAGCTGTTTTATTTCACTGCACATACAAGCATTCATGCAAAGGCTTTACCATTAATCCCCAAACATGACACACTTTGATTTAACTATGTGCTAATGTTGGCCCAGTATTTTCAAAGACCTGTCAATCTATTTGAGACTGATACCAGCGGTCCCTGTCCTGTGGAGCTTTTCCTTTTGTTTACATCTGGATCACAGGTTGTCCATGTAAGGCAGCCTTACATTGTACAGCTGATTCACTTCAAATAGGAATATCTGGTGAAATGTTGCTAAAAACCTAAATACTTTGAGCTTTAAGGCTTCCTATCAGTTACCTTGGGCAATGCACATTAAATCCAGCTCGCTGAGACAGTAAGTTAGTTCACCTCTGGCAGGACGCCGTGCGCTTCTCAATAAGCCTTAAAAGCTGATCAACTCCAATCAATCAGCCCTAAAAGCAAAAGTAGAGCAGGATCTGTTGCTTTCCATTATCTTACATGTGGGTGTGTTTTGGTAAGCTTCCATTTAGGTTTAGCTTCTAATCTAGGTGGCACACATTCGCCCCCCTTTAACCAACACTGGGAAGTAGATAAGCGGTACTCCGGTGTGTCTCAGACCTGCTGCCGTGTCGTACTAACTTGTGTTTGTCTCTGCCTTACCTGCAGGTCATGCACGCAGCCGGGCCTCCAGCCTGCGCTCTGCACACTGCCAGCGATTGAGCCGGTGTCCTTGGAGTAGGTGGAGGCTCTTCCTCTCTTTCTCCCCGCTGCCTCCGATCAACCTCCGCGTTCCCTATGTTAACCCTCTTGAGCATGTTTTACTATATCTGTCTGCGGCGGCGCTCCAGGAGCGGGACTCGAGGCGAGGCCCTCACCAGCCGGAGGGCCGTGGAGTCCGGCCAGCGTGCGGTGCTACCGATCAGTGTGGAGGTGGAGCAGTACGCCAAGGAGGTTCTGGACTTCAGCTCCCACTATGGCAGTGAGAATAGCATGTCGTACACCATGTGGAACCTGGCCGGGGTACCTAACGTCTACCCCAGCTCGGGGGACTTCACTCAGACGGCTGTATTCAGAGCTTACGGGACGTGGTGGGAACAATGTGCCAGTGCTCCGCCACCTTTTCGTCGGACCCCGAAAGCCTTCCACAGCCAGGATTATATTGAACTGGGTTTCGAGGAGCCGGTCTACCCCACAGCAGTGGAAGTGCTTGAGACTTATTACCCTGGAACTATTGTTCAGATTCTGGCCTGCTCTCACAACCCCTTCTCCCAGAATCCACCAACCGATGTCAGGTAAAGACTCCCACCAACCTAACTAACCATCGCCAGTCATTCTCCTGCGTTTAAAGTTGGTAATTATTAGTGACTTAATTAATGACTACTGACTAGCAGATCGAGACAACTGCCCCTCCGGTTTCGCCCAGATGCCAAACGTTGGTGAGCGCACCGACACGCATGAGGGGCCTCGTGCAGTAGGATTCGAAGCGTATTACTGTTGGATTGCTGTCACGCTCCGTTTAATGGCCTTAATTAACTGACCAAACACACAGAGTGGGATACAAGCGCAGCCTTTTTTAACAGATGTTGTATTATTAATCGGAGGAAATCCCCATGCGGACATGCGCCTTGTTGATAAGCATTAATATGTTCTATACGTGGCCTTTTAGAGATCAATTATTGACAGAGACCCGGTGTTATTAGCCTACCCAACGAAACGCTCCACGGTTAAATCACGGCCAACCCGGTCAGGTGTGGAACCGACCTCACAGCGTGAGGGAAGAAGATGCCAGGAAGTGGAAACTTGTCTGCTAGTTTTAGTCGTGAACCCTGGAGACATTACTAACCTTTTATTTACATTATTAAATGATCATTTATTACTTTGCCTTGTAATTACAAATTGGTACCTGACATTTATATATTCTTTGTGTGTTTTGTAATATACCTAAGTGATTTATGAATAATGTTATAACTACTTTAGGAATTTTGCAAATGTTGGACTGGAATTTTAGAGAAGCACAGTGCACTTTTCAATCAAACAAAGGAAACAGGAAAAGCTAATCTCTGGAAGGCAAACAAGATCCACTGCTCGATGAGTAAAAGGAATTTGATTGATGAACTGCTTGTGATGAGTGTGCGAGGCGCAGGAGGGAAAAGCACCGGGAGCGTGGACAGAAGGTCGGTACTTTAGTAGAACCTCACAGACCGCACGGAAATCACTCAAAACCCTGATTAGTATTCTACAGAGGACGATAGATTTATATCACTAAACTGATTTTTAGTGTTTTATGAGTTTTAAAAAATGATTCATATATGTGTGCGTGTGATGGCTGCGGACTCCACAAACCAACTGTGTTCTACGCTTTTCTTCTGTCCAGGTGGGAGGTGCTGTGGTCAGGGGAGCCCACCAAGGTGCTGACACCCCAGGCCCGTCAGTTTTCCCCTACCATCAAGCACATCGGCTTCCCCACCAACCTGCTGCGTCTGGAGGTCAACAGCTCCCTGCTGGACTACTACACCGAGCTGGACGCTGTGATCCTGCGCGGGGTAAAAGAGAGGCCGATGCTGGCCCTCTACAAGATGCCTATCATCGACATAAACGACCTGAGTGACAGCGAGGAAGAGCTCTCTGATGTGGGCGGTCCTTTCAGACAAGGAGGAGACGGCAAGAACCAGAGGACGGGCAACGGCTACTTTGACAAGCTGCCCTATGAGGTGATTACACACCTTGATGAACACAAGTCGTGACCCCATACATTTTTGACCATGTATGGGGTCACGTCCTGTGACCATTTGGTACCAGCTTGGAGGTCCCATCATGCTAGTGGCCCCCATGTCTGTAGTAGTGTGTGTCGTTAAAGGCAACCTGAACTCATAAGAATCATTGAGTTCTGACAAACGTGTTGAAGGCCTTTCCTTCTCCTCCGTAAAGCTTCTTTTCCTTCAAAGAAAATTGGTACCGGCAGGTCAGACTTCTTATATTATAAAACTGCTGGTTCTTTAGCGCCACTTGTAGATCGGTGGATTAGTATAGAAGTATGAAGAGAAGCAACTTGAATTAATTGGCATAATGTTATTAGCAGGAGCATTACAGCTTTACAGATGAAAAAACTATGTGAATTACAAAAAAAGGCCTTTAGTAAATATTCACATTAGCAAAAACAACACGATGCTTCGGCGTCAACATGTCTGCGGGACGATAACAACAAAAGGTAATGAAGCTGTTTTCCATCACTTTGTGTCTACGTGACCAATCGTGGTCAACGGTTTTTTGAAACGACTGATGATGATCACGACCTACAGGAATGTGTATATATACATATATTGATATATTCTATCAACCAGCGCTGCGCACGTGAACGTTCTGGCTTGGACCCATTTCGACACGTGATCCCTATAAGCCGTCACGGACACAGTCGTTTTCATGCCATGCAGACGTGTTGTTCTGAGACGAGCTTTAGAACACTGGCAGTATACTAGATGTTCCTTCTCTTATCGCTCCTCCCAAACCGCTGCCATTAACCGCAGTCTTCACAACCTCCGCGTGCTTGTTTCAGGAACACAATGCAGCGATTAACTGTCAGCTTGAACACTGTGTATTGTTAATTCACTGCAACACACACGAGCGCGCAGTCATCCTCTCCCTTTGAGACGCACGCCAACACAGTGCAAAACAAGCCGGCTCACCTCTGCAGTGATCCTGCTATCAGCGCTCCGTTTCCCGGGTAAACACTATTTTGATCTGTCTGCCAGAAGGCAGGACGCTATTAACATTCTCCAGACGGCTTTTCTCTGTTCTCTACAGTTCTGCTCTTTAAAGTTCTGCATTTTACTTTGGATTCCTGCTATGTTTTCCTTGCTGACTGAAGGGTATTTATATTTCTTCCTTCCTTCCTCTTCTGACCCCTTCTCCCCATCTCCCCTCCGCAGCTCATTCAGCTGATACTGAGCCACCTGACCCTGCCGGACCTCTGCCGTCTGGCCCAGAGCTGTAAGCTGCTGCACCAGCACTGCTGCGACCCGCTCCAGTACACCCAGCTGAGTCTGCAGCCCTACTGGGGCCGGCTGAGTGACGCCTCCTTGGGACACCTGCAGGGCCGCTGCACCCTCCTCCAGAGGCTCAACCTGTCCTGGACCGGCAACCGCGGAGCTCTCACCCTGACCGGCTTCAGCAGGTCAGGCTGCCACGGGCTAGAAAGCAGTGAGATGACCTTGGAAAACTAGCAAGTGGTCACAAGCATTGTTTAGAGGGGGGGGACGTGATTCTTAAATTCGTGGACAAAAGCAAATACAGTCAAGTTAAAGGGCTTAGTGTCTAAAATAGAGACACTAGTATTGTGATGCATCTGTTTCTCTCTACAGCCTCTCACGCCTCTCCCTCTCCATCTATTGTCCCCCTCAGCTTTATGAAGGCCTGTGGTCTCAGCCTCGGCTGCCTGGAACTGTCCTGCTGCCACTTCCTGAATGAGCCCTGTCTGGAGGTCATCTCTCAGACTTGTCCCGCGCTGCAGGACCTCAACCTGTCGTCCTGCGACCGCCTCCAGCCGCAGGCCTTCGCCCACATCTCGAAACTAACACGCCTCCGCAGGCTGGTGCTCTATCGGACCAAGATAGAGGTAGGCCCGGTCAACAGGGTGTCTGGGGAAACCACCATCAATCAAAATGACATTTTTGTCCTTTTTTCAAATTGGCTTACGATTTCCTTAGAATAAGGTGGAGCAGAAATGTTTTGGTTCTTCATATAAGTGAAGTCTATCAAGTGATCATCTCTTATATTTTGAACCCATGGGGGGGGTTCCAACCCCCTTTAGCTACCGGCTGTGGTTTGTTCTCCACGTGTTAATTAGCTTCAATAACAAGAAGATAAATGTATAGTAAAGATTTGACTTGAAATGAAACCATTTCTTTAGAAGCCTTCCCGTGATGTGCTGCTTATTCCATGGTAAGTGTTAGTTTGGGTGTAGCGCCTTTTATGTTGTCGTCTCCTGGGATGAACCCAGTCGACTCTGATCCAAGGGGGCCTCAAAGCCACGCACTGTGTGCCTGCGTTCGGGCTCGGGCCTGCCTTGTCGTGTGCAAACAGCTGCCTTGTCGTGTTTTGCTGTTGCGCCTCAGCGTTTCTCCGGTGCTGGTCATGTTTCACAGCGCCGTTGTGGGCAGGAGGCAGTGTAGAGTTTCGGCGCTGGAGACGTGCAGCGTTCAGCAGGTTGTTTACTCCCAGGCAGACAGAGCAAGCTGTGTGTGTGTGTGGTGTGTGTGTGTGTGTGTGTGTTTGAGGCTCTGACATCTCGGCTGTCATTACGCTGTCACTGCTCTAATTAAATGGCCGGCTCGCCGGGGAGAGAGACGCTCAATGAAGATGCCAGCGTCGGGCCGAAGCGCACACAGACAAAAGGCTTTCACTTTCCCTGTTGTCGTGATGTCCTGATTGCACGCAGTAGCTCCTCAGATATAACGCGTGTGCCAAACTGGAATGGATCCCACAACGTCTCTGCACCTTTCTTGTCTTGCCGTTGTCCTCTGCAGCAAACAGCCATTCTGAGCATCCTGACCTTCTGCATAGAGCTGAAACACCTCAACCTGGGAAGCTGTGTGAGGGTGAGAACGAACACACACACACACACACACACACATATATATATAGAGAGAAAACCCTTCCAAAAGATGGCCGAGGCACCAGTAGTGTAGCTTAACAGAGCGCCGATTTAGGGGAACAGCTCGCCTGGCTCCATTCAAAGGTACAAACATCGGCCAGCAGCTCTGAAGCTCACCAAGTAACATGTTGTGTTTTGCTTGTTAACTTTATACACAACTGAAGTGTAAAGCAAACAGCAAATTGGCTTTATCTTTGGATTTTGTACAAATCAAACCAACGAGATCTAGAGTGGCATGTGGAGTTTTAGGGGTGCAAACGGATGGATTTAGTTAAACGCAGCCAGGCGAGTGTTTTTGAGTCTTAACGTTTAAGAGATGGAAATGTGAGTTTATTTGTCTCATTTAAAATTCTGCCAAAAAGCATTGCATGAATTCCCCAAAAATGTCAAGCTGTCCTTTTTAATAATCTTATGGTGTTAATGGGGGAACAGATATGTAGACATTAAACTGCAATATCATTCTTAGTATCCCACGTTAATTTGAATAAATGAGACATTACAGTAAATGTTCAGTGTATCATGGCGATAATTGTGGGGGAGAGTCAGTGCCTTTTAATGTGTATTTTCTTTTAAGATAATTAAAAAAGAAGGGAAACCGTATTTTTGTAATTTACAGACTGTCAAATTTGCAAAGTCCCCGACTCACTGTGTCACTATCTGAGTTTCCACCCAACATTCGATGCATATTAATGAGTAGCATTTAAACAAAGCTAAAAGAAAATTCCAAATATCATTGCAAGTTTGACAAGTTACACTATGGAACGGGAAAAACGTAATGCAGCAGTATGCCAGTAGTTCAGTTAGCCAAACCCACCGCAGTCTGGCGTGGGCGCCGCGTGGCCTTGGATTCTGTTTGATGAATCCGTTTCTATTCACATGACCTGTCTTGTACACGACACTCTCTCCATTCCAGTTGTAGTTGACTGGGAATCTTATTATTTAAGATTTTTTTTATTTAATTTTTTTTCCCTAAATCCTGCACTGCTATTATATATAACTATTGCTGCCCTAATTTACAAATCACAAGCTCTGAGCCAGTTGACTAGACCTGAGGAGGCTGCTGCAGATTTTCATAGTTTGAGAGTCCATTTTAAAGCTGAACCCTCAGAAGAGCCTCCATGACACTTCGTAATGTTGAACTGCCGCCTGTCTCTCCTGCAGATCGAGGACTATGACGTTGTGGCCAGTATGCTGGCTGCCCGCTGCCGCTCACTCTGCTCCCTGGACCTGTGGCGCTGCCGAAACCTGACGGATCGAGGCCTGGCCGAGCTGGTCTCTGGCTGCAGGTAGACGATGCTTGTTCGCTGCTGTAAATAACGGTTGTCCTATTAAGTCGCTCATTGAGAATACAGGATCCTGTCTTAATGCCACTATAACATGCTTATCCAGTTTTCAGTGAATTTGCATGCTTTGTGCGATGAGTCATCCCTGTGCTCTACGTGCTCTGTGGGTCCACAGGATGCTGGAGGAGTTGGACCTGGGCTGGTGTCCCACGCTGCAGAGCAGCACGGGATGTTTCCAGCAGCTCGCCCGCTGCCTGCCGCGCTTACGCAAACTCTTCCTCACTGCCAACCGCACTGTCTGCGACTCGGACGTGGAGGAGCTGGCAGGGAGCTGCCCCTCACTGCAGCACCTCGACATACTGGGTGAGCACACGTGGAAATGTCTGATGGTCAGAATTGATTTCATCAATTGAAGCTGTTAATGTTTTATTCTGGGTGAAGACGGGAAGGGACATAACCCACGTTGTCCATTTACTATACTAATTTAAAGGGTTCCCACATTAAGTTATTTATTTGTAAACAGGAAATCTGAAAGGTAAATGTTAGTATGATTATTATTACTTATTCAGGCTCATGTGTCAGTTGTGCTACAGTAGTTGGGCTGGTGTGTATGGTGGCGCGACAAATAAATATAAGCTCATTATTTGGTTCTTGAACATGTTATGTAGACATAAGCAGTGCTGTAAGTGCGTGTGTCAGAAATCGCTTGGGTATTATTTTATTAGTCTTATTAGTTATTTGCGGTGAGTCCAGATGCTCTCCACATAGTTTTTTGGTCATATGCCAAAACCGCGGCGCTGAGCCATAATCGCATACATTACTTACATGCTCTGGGTCGCCAGAAATCTATTTGATTTATTTTTGAATGATCTTCTTTATTGCTATATTCTTACTCCTCTGTTAATGTCTTCGTCCTGCATCTTCTCATCTAACGTTCAGGTACCCGTTTGGTGAGCGCTGCCTCACTGAAGAAACTCCTCCAGTCCTGTCCACGACTTCTCCTCCTGGACGTCTCCTTCTGCTCGCAGATAGACATGCGGGTTGTCCAAGAGCTCTCCAGCCTCTTCCCCAAGGTGGCCATCAAGAAGAGCTTCACTCAGTGACCTCAGTCCGGATGAAGTAAGAGGAGGGAAGCTCGCCCGCAGACACTGCCACAAAATGAATGAGGCAGGACGGATGTTGTCCGTCTGCCTCCGTATCGCAGACAAGATCTTCCAATGGAGGTGATTTGATATAACTGGTTGAACACAGTGAGGGACTTTCACTAACAGGATTATAGGGCGTGAGACGTTTTTGCTAATGTTCTTTGGACACTTAAAATCAGGGTTGTTGCAGTAAAACTGCTCCATCTTCCCAGAATCGGAATCACCACTAACGTATTGCCAAGCAACACTATGCCCGGGTAAATGCCACTGGATGCAAAACGCCCCCCCCCCCACAACGAGAAGGGAGAAGGGGTGAAACACGCCCTCATGGGGGACAGTCGGAGAAGGAGCAGGAGCTTTTGGTGGTCACTTATTTATGGTAGCTGGTATTGTGCTAGCGCCTTTTTTTCCACAGTGTGCAGGAATCAAGCTGGCTCTTTTAATGCACCGGGTTCATTGTGAAGGCATCTGCTAAAATGCGATGAGAAGAGATCTGCCTCGAGGGTGTTAAAGATGAAAACAATAGAGTCAACGCAGCATTATTTAACACAATGTGCAAGTATCGCAGTATTTGTTGCTGCAAACCGACCGTAGACACAAAACATGAAAACGAATACACCATCTCAAACTGTCCTTGCACCTGAGATTCCCAGATAACAAGTTTTTATCAAAAAAGCATATGTGAGAACTTGTGAAAAGCATTTGTTGAAATTTCCACATGTGCTATAAATAATATAGTAAAAACACCTACGGTGTAAAATAAAATCAGCACAAGTGAAAAGAGAAGTTATAGTGTGAAATCTGTTATAAAGGTATAAAATAAACATTGAGAAAAGAAGTTAAGTGACCGATCTAAGTTAAGGGTACGCATGATTGTCAATTACTTGATAGATTCATTATTTCAGGTCAAACTGTTAATGTCAGACAGTTCTGATGCAACAAATATATTAATACATCTTCTGAAACCATAATATGAGGACGTCTCCAACCACAATATATGGGTTCTATACAGCATTTTTATATGTATATATGTATGTGTATATATATATATATATATATAAATTAGGAATGACTTTAATGGAGATGTGGCATGGTGATGGCCTTCTCTTTGAGCCAATTATATATACAGGACCGCTGTTAAACTCAACGTTAGACTTTTGTTGGATTAAATCTGTAGAGTCACCGGATCTAAAGTACCTGATCCGGGTCCCTTTCTGTTTACATCTGCCCTCTGAATCTAACACGGCGTTGAAGGTGCCTTTCACACAGGAAGCGGTTCGCGCTGCACGCTGATGGGCTCCACAGAGTCGTGCTTTCGTGCTGAAAGGCCCTTTACGTTCCACTGGTTATGACCGAGGCTTTTCAACAAAACTCTGGCCCAGTAAGGACAGACAAATGTATACAATTTTTAATTATTTATCTTTTTTTTTTTTTAAGTTGGGCAATTAGGTGATTGGATTGATTGTGTTTGCTTAGCTTAGGTCATTCTTTTGCTTAGCTGTTGTTTTGGTTGTGTGATTATAAAGGATGAGCGCTTTGTCTCCAGAGATGAATGATACAGTTTGAAAGCCACCGGTTCCACGACGCTCTCCTGATGTTGCATGCTTCTCCTGTTGTCCTTCACGCTGAGCGGTCTGTCCCCGCTGTTTGACTACAGCCACCTCTTGGTGTATTTACCTACCTAAGCTTTGCCGATGAGATGGAGCAATGTGGAATCAGTGGGGGACGGTATGTGCAAACACTCTTATGTGACCTCAGTATTTGTCCTGAAACTCAGGGGTTTTAATATTTCATCTGGTTTTAGGTTTTTTGTTTTGTTTTTTTTTACGTGCATTTTGCTGCTCCTAAAACCAGCACGAGTCTTTACAGTGTTGCTCTTCGAGACAAACGCACACCGCACAGACGTGACTGTGACTAAAGTTCTAGCTTATTGGCTGTGGAATGTTTCTGTAATTGTACGATTGTTAAAAATATATTGATGTCCGCGATTATTTCATAATTTAATCATATTTTATTAATGTAATTTATTTTCAATTGCTTTGAATACATTTCTTTTTTGTCTTTCTTTTTTCTTTAAAGCACATGCTCCTTGTCAATATTTGTGCCTTACGCTCCTGTTTGAGTGTGGTGTGATGTCCGTGTGGTGTAGGTTGTAGTGAAGAGCTTTGATTTTATGGCCTTCAACCAAAGCAGAACGCAGACACCTGGTCTTTAATCCCACGGCTATATTTGACCAGTTTAAATGCCATTTATTGTAAATCAGCAGTTAATATGCCAAATCATATTCATTTATACTTCCCTGTGTGATAAAAATGTTATTTAAACGTTATTACGTTACCCCTATACGCATAAACAGTACTAAACATTTTGGGAAACTTTTTTTTTTTCACAAAGACTGGAAGAGAATCTCCAGCTCTGCACAAATAATGGAAACAGAGGGAGGCTATTTGCTTAAATGGAGAGAAAACGCATTTCCCACAAGACCACAGTTGTCTTCTATGTGGTTTGTTGAGCGGAACACATGCAAAAAGCATTTGACTATAGAATGAATAAATTACCTACACTAGGTCAAGTAAATGAGGTTTAAAGCGGTTTGAATATTTGTTTTGACTAGTGGCTGCAGTGACTTTCTTTGGTGGAGGACAGTAGAGTGCTGAATGACTTGGCCTTCTATGACAACAGTTAAACTACATAAAGTGAGTTTTCCAAATGCGTATTTGGATCAAAGTTAATATCTTTAGATTTTTAAAAACCCAGCTCCTCTCTAAACGCCAGCCGACCTCCTGCTTCCAGTCTTTGTGCCGACAGGCTAAACGTTTCCCAGACCGATCAAACCGACGGTCACCGTCTTACCAACGAAGCCGTTTGGTCGAACACCTGCCAATGTTGGTCTGGCTTTAGCCTCCTACCTTGAGCAAGTGGGACGCTCTGCTTCTCTGTCGTGAATATGCATCAACCTGTGTGCCATCCGTAGGACATGCAGATGAGCTCCCTGTGCTGCAGAATGAAAGTCACTGTTCTGTGAAAGGATTGTGCCTCTGTCACGATGAAACTGGGTGCTTCAATTTCACTAGATTTTAAATAAACTGAATGCGGATGACTCCGTCTGTGCGTGTGTGTCTTTTCAATGTTGCCAGTAGCGGAATGATCCTTTCTGCCATTGTAGAGTATTAATACCGCAGAGAGAAGTGACATTAGCTGGTCTTCTTAACGGCCTTTTAATGAATTGTTTATGCCTAGTTTAATGATGTATTTTGTGGCCCTGTAATGTGCCCTAATGACGGCGAGCAGGGCGGCCTCCGCTGAAGCGTTCATTTGGACGGCCTCCCCAATGATTATTCCTCAGCCAACGACGCCGCCGCCGCTGCTGTGTGCGCGACAACGGATACAAACGTGATTCATGGGAGGCTTTTCGCTCTGCGCCACCGCTTGATTTCTTGCTGTCACGCTCCTCCATAAGGCTGATACATCCGAGTGGGATCCACGGCAATTAGTTCCGCTTTTTATTTGTCTTTAATGCATCTGCAGCGGGAATTTATGGATGGAAATATTGTTCCCAAATAATGAATCCAGCACTAAACACTGTGCAGGTTAGCTGGATAGCACATGGTTGCACTTACTTACTTTCCTTCCTTGTTCTTTTTTTCTTTTCTATTAACAAACCAGAAGATACCGTGACAAATATTGCAGCAGTATTCTCATGCATTCTTCCTCATCAGGCTGAGACTCGACAGGCCACAGACCTGCCTGAGACACCCGTCATTATGTGGATCCAGTTTCTTAGACTCTAATAATGGAGACGTCCTTGTCAGTCCTCACGCTGCTGCTAAAACGTATTATGTTTTGTATGAGTATATAAGAAAGGTCAGCGCTGCTAAATAACTCATAGGCATCTTTTTGAAGCGGCGCTAATGGGGAAAGTTTCTTTAGCAGAGTCTGTGTTGGTGAGGATATTCATTTGAAAACTTGGTCGGATCGTGATACCCTGTAGTAGTTATTAAAATATCGAATCCTGATTTAATGCCAGTGGTGCAAGCGTGCTGCCTCCAATAAACTAGGGGGCAGTATGCAACCTCCAAAGCAATGTTAAACATTCCATTTAAAGTAGTGGTGGAATATCTTGAAGTCGTAAAAAAGCAATTAAACAGTATGTTGGAACAAGTCGAGGTATAAAATGTTAGAAACAAACTTTGGTTACAGCACTTTGTGGCAGTTACTTAGAGTTCAGAACCGTGGACAGCGCTGTTTTCTGCGTGCAGAGCTGATGTGTCGAGGTGCAGCTTCACTGTCCTGCACATGAAGTTCATAGTTAGTACGCATAGATAATAACAGGTACACATCACAGGACAACGCACCCTTATCGGCAACATTGGTAAAAAAAAAATGCTTTGGAAGTAATTTACAACACAAAAAGTTGTAGAGCATTAATGTAGACAATATAGTTTTGTAAAATGATAAAACGGTCTGATATTTGTTATTGAACATGACTGTTATTACAGTGCTTGGACTACAGTACCACAGAATAGTTTTGTCTAATAATGGACAAGATGTGGTTCATATTTGGAATGAACACCAAATCTCCAGAAACACTGGAGTCTTTGACACGTGAAGAAGAGATCAGGAGATGGAAATCGAGAGGATTTAAAAATATATATTTTTACAGTTTTGAAATTGATCCAAAGTTACAGATCGAAATCACAGGCCGCATTTATTAGTTCTTTCTGCTGCCTCGTGAGTAAAACCTAGAAAATACAAAGAATTAAGATACGAGTTCTCTGTAAAGGAATTAATGAAGTTTGCTGATTTCCCACAAAGGTGAACGGTCAGCTGTTCTACTTCTATGTGAGAACGTTGAGAGCAGCACAACCACCGTGTGGCAACTGCTTTATGTGTATTTTTTCTGATGATATTTGTCTGATAGCATAAAGTTGTAGTAGAGCATGTGATAACTTTAGTTGGTTTAGTATGTTGAATTGTACATAGTTTATTCACTTGATATTGATATCACATGATATTGTCATGGTAGAGTATGTTAGAAAAATGTCTATACTATATATAAAAAATTTAATAAAAATCATAATAATGTGCCAGTATGGTACGTTGAAATGTCTGTAGAGTAGGAAAACCAAATCATATGAAAAACATTGTATTGTTTGTTAAAAAAAAGACTTGAATAGTCATTAATTTATTTATTTTCAAAATCGTATACAAAGAAGTCGTATGTGTCAAAAACGTTACGTAACATTCATAATATAAGTATTAATGTAATTGTATAGCATGTCAAACAAGTATTCAAGAGTCAGAGAAATATGTTGAAAAGGTGTAATTTGCAATGAATCATTGTATAGTGTATAAGTCATACAATGTATAAATTGTATATGACAAAATAATTATAGAATCATATACTGTATCAATAGTCATAATATATCATAATATAATTGTATTGCCATTAAAAAGTAATTAAAAGCGATTGTACAGTTTGCACAGTTTTCCACATTATAGTTTGTTGGAAAAACCTCCAGCAAAAGCCATGATATGGTATGTCATGAAAAAAGCATTTTTCAAAACCCGAGGTACATTATGACAAAACAAGTATGTATAAGTCATCAACGAGCCAAAGTATAGATTTTTTTTTAAAAGCTTGCAGCATTAAGCGATTTAAAAAAAAAAAAAATGATGTCTGTTATTTTTGGCCTTTTCAAAATATGCTGCATACTGTGTTCCTGAAATTATCTCATTGAAAAATAAACCAATGCAAGGCCCAAACTGTATTAATGTTTCATGATGTCAGTACTCTTAATATCGTTTTTAAATAGTACAACTCTAGTTTGATTCTTGCTGAAAGTCAAACGCTTTTATTTTAAATAACATTTTTGGTGTTCCTCAAGGTCGAGGGAGTGCGACCATTTTGATCAACTCTCGAGCCACTAGACACACACACACACACATATATATAAATACGTGTGTGTCACACTATTTTCTAACAAAGCAGCCGCTTAGAGGCCAATGTCAGAGAGGAGGCTGCACGGAAGCTCCATGAGACGGCCTTGCAGGGCGACGAGCATGTATCACAAACAGGCCGAGCAATTATATCCTGAATAATTATGCGCTGAAGGGGAGACACGATTCGCCCCACTGATCAGCAAAGTTCATGTGAAGTTATGATTAAACAATAACTCGTTTACAAATGAATGCACGCGTGCATTTGTGTACTTAAGTGTGCAAAGTGTAATTAGCTGCGATGCATCTGAGTGAGATTGAAGAACAACAATGTCAAATGGTGGAATTATGTTCTGCTCATGAGCTTGTATCACTGTTATCTGTGTGCTGGGGGAGGAGGACCAGGAGGAGGAGTCTGTGTGTGTGTGTGTGTGTGTGTGTGTGTGTGTGTGTGTGTGTGTGTGTGCGCGCGTGTGCGTGTGTGTGTGTGTGTGTGTGAGTGTGATACCGAAGACTGATTCATCTTCACGTAATACAACGATGGACATGATGTTTAACAGGCAAACATTGTTCAAACGCATTAGATTTGGATCTCTGGGGGTAAATAAAGTTAGCCACAGAAACATTAGACTTTTTAAATAAATGTATCACCAATTGAAATTACCCAAAAGTTGTATTAAAACACTATGTTGTTTGACACAATGTTAAATGACACCATGTGACTTTGACCTTGTATTAATGCTGTTCGATTGGACACGAACCTTTTGTCTCTCCTTTGTCTTGTGGTCATGGCAGGACTCAATGTGCTGAGTCTGCACTAATCCGCGTTTTGACACCAGTATGTCCCACTTCATCACCTATTGCCAGAGGCACTGGTCCCCTGCGTCACTGAAAAACAAACGCTGTCAATCAATATTTTAGACACAGAAGCAGGTTTGCTCACAGAGGAGGACGTCTGCATGTCGGGAAAAGAGAGGAAAGGAGTACGCGGTAATCCTGAATACCTGATAACAATGTGAGTAATGCATGATGTCGCCAGCTTGCCTGAATAGGCTTCCGAGGCTGCTATGCCCATTCACGCACAAACACAAATCTGAGTCCGTGAAACTGGTCCCTCCTCTAGGGCTTTTTATTGATTAATCCTTCAGTTATTGTTGCTTTGGATTGTTCTGTGTATTCAAATTTCAGGTGTTACTTATTCCACTAATAATGTCACCGTATTCAAATGTCTCTCAGTGGTTCCAAAACTATGTATTTGAAGGTGCATCACTGAAAAGGTTTTTTCTTTGACTGATTCAAAGACCACAGAAGTTTACAGGCTAAAAAGTATTTTTTTTGTGCTAGACCACTTCACCTCAGACCTTACTGCTGAACATAGACGTTTATGCTGCTCCCCTGATCAATGACTAATGTTTCTTCTGGTACCCCTTCAGAAAAAAATAAAACAGGTGTAAATACACTATGTTAACTTGCTGATGCTGCAAGAGTTCCTCTTATATTGTTCTGATAAAACTACTGTAAAATACAAGCATGCAATACACTATAGTTTTGAATTCCTTATTGAATTTTTTCGCACAATGCGTTTAATTGCGGTTAATAAAAAAAAAGCATGCGATTAATTAAGTTATTATATAGAATGAATAAATAAAGAATAAAATGCCTTGTGAACAAAGGCTCTACCAATATGTTATTGTTGCTTCCCAAAACTGTCTATACAATACACCTAATGTTATTCCTTTGGGCAATAAGTATGTTATTCTGACATTTCTAAAATGTTACTTTAATGAAAATAAAGTGATCATTTGGTAGAAACACAGTCCAACAAAAGGCGCTGCAGATGATGACCCTTACTATCTTTGTCGTTATGTCACACAATGCTTCTACATCTCCATCAGACAGCAAACGTTACATTCAGCCTCTGCTTAACATTTCGGCCATAAGCTGGTTTGGTAAAGATGTGACTGTGCTCGTTGATTCCATTGACCCAAAGCCCTCCTATACGTTAAGATGACATCACGGCTTGGACTCACCCTCGGGCCGCTAGGTGGCGCTAGAACACCGATGATCCCTCTCTGCTTCTCCTCGGCTCAACACCAGGACGGCGGAGTAATCTTTTTTTTTTTTTAATTCCTCCTTGGATGCCTAATGGGAAATTTCAAGTCACCTAAATAAAACGGAAGGTGTAATTAACGCGACGCGCTATTAATTGCATCTACCAGAGAGCGGATGAAGGGCGCCGGGGCGCACTTTTTGTGATTACCGGGCTCCGCAAAAAGACCGCGGAGATCCGACACGGGGCTTTATTTCCGGGTGTCGTTTCGTGCCAGGCATCCAAATGGCAGGTCAGAAGTGGGGCGACGATGATGCAGAGAGGGCGACGTTTTATTCTACCCCCCCCGCGCATCAATAACCGACCCGCAGCAGAGATGTGCAGCGCATTGATGCAGATGTGATCTGTAACCTTCACCGCTGTATTCCAGAGGAGTGTGTGTTTAGAATCCCGCAAAACAAGTCAAAGAACCGCACTGCCAGATGCACCCGGTGCAACGAGTAACCACGCGCGTGAGAATAAGAAATCCCTTTGTCTTCCTCTGCGTGCTGGTGATCTGTTTTTGCCACGGAAGGCCGCTACTTGTATCTCACTTTTTATTCAGAAATTAAAAAATAAAAGAAATATCCCTGGCGTTTAATTGCAGAGAGGGTGGATTCTTAAAGATGCTTCAGAAAATAGTTATTTCAATACACAGTTGTTGTGTTCGTTCGTTTACGGTAATTATTGCATTGGTTACGTCATCAGTAACCAATCGGATATCGATTTCCGATCGATCGGCTCCTTCAGAGGTAAATCTCACCCGACTGCTGCAGACATTTTGAAGTTGACAACGATCCAATTGTAATTCATATTATTGAGACGCCCGCGGAGGGCAAACACGTCTGGCGTTTTGTTGGTAAACAACTCTGCATTCTGCCCGTTTGCTCCAGAATATAACGAGCCAGAGGAGATGCTCATGCAAATATCTCACCACAGGTTCCGGTGGGAATATTATCGAAAGAATGACGTTCCACAGTGAATATGAAATCACCATCAGGGTCACCGCTGTCAATATCACTTTCAGTTAGAGTTTCCCTGGTGAAATATGTGTTATCTATTGATCCTGAACTCTCTGTTTGAATCCGGACAAAAGCAAAGCCGTCAATTTGGAATAAAAACAGGACAATGTCACAATCTCTCATGCTGTTTAAAGTCTGGTTGTTCTTATACGCTTAACTGTAAAGGGCTCAATTTCAATCAATCAACCCAAGTGAAGCCAAATTAAAAGCATAACATTTTTGTCTCTTATATTTTTTCACTTTAGACAAAGATAGCGAAAAAACATATTTGACAAAAAGCAGAGGAATGATCATGAATAAACTAACTTTGTGAATTTTAAGGATGAATTTCATGAGGTTACATTGGAAATAGAATTTGTTTGACATGTTATACGAGACAATACATAATATTGTTTTAGAGTGTGACTGTGAAGACAGAACGGGAAACCCCATAAAACCGCAGGGGATTTGTCACGTTGGAACCCTTTGAGTCCTCCTGAGGACCGCTATTGGTCCTCCAACCCCACTTTGAGAAGCCCTGATTTAACCCGAACCGGAAGCTGAGGTTTTCCCAGCCGAAGCCGGTCCACCTGAAAGCAGCCCCGGGCACAAACAACACATCGTCGGCTCGCAATCTTCCATTCATCAACCCTGATTTTCTCTCAACCATTAATTCCACCCAAGCGAAGGAGCTGGAAGCAGGAAGCCTGTCTGGAGCGCAGATGCTGGAGCAGATATGCGGATGTCACGACAGCAGCGGTTTCTCTTTCGCACAATGGGAAAAAAAATAAAAAATACATTCAGCCTGGACGTTGGAAAAAAGCTGTTTAATATCAACCCCGTTATTTCAAAATGTGCAAGTCTGTTGTTCGTGTGTCAAGTGATGAAACACCTACAGACATTTATCACCTCTGCTGTTTCTACCCCAAGTTCATCCAGTGGATATGACATAGCCTATATACCCCCCCCCCCCCCCCCCCCCCCCCCCCAAAAAAAAAAAAAAAAAAAAACAACGACTGGTTTAACAAGCAATTAAATAAAACAACAAAAACAGCGTCGGGTTGCTACAGGTCTACGTCCCACAACTTGGAATTCCATTGAATTATGAGATGAATTTGATTAATTAAAGCTACCGAGGAGATATTTCAACGCCACAAACGTGTCCTGCTTGTGGTTTTCTGCGGGGGACAAATAACTCAGGGGGGGGGGGGGGTTTGGGGGATAGAAAAGTATTGTTTCACATGAGACGGAAAATAAGACAAGTCCCTGGATGTCTGTTTTTGCATAAAACCAGACACCAAGCAAGCTACGGAGAACAGATGTATATACATTTAGTTGTGTTTTAGGCTGCGACAATCCCGCTCAAAGGAAACACCAAACGTGTCTCTCTTCTTCCCTCCGAAACACAGTACCTGCTCGGTGACATTTCATATATATCTCGGATTTTTGTGTCAGCTATAAAAGCCATTGTATAATAAATTACAATCTCACTAACAGTGCTGAAAAATAAAATAAAATGTCTAAGGAGCAAGTTCCCTCTTGTAATACAGCAACATAGACGAAGGATAAACAAAATGGCTGAAATGAAACGCATGGCAACGCCTTCACACACAAAATTAAAATAACACCCTGTTTAATAATAGTAATAATAACAATAATAGTAATAATGTTTGGATCATATGCTGCCAGTTTTAGAACATCCCAAAAATTTTTCTTGGGGAGAGGGAGGGGATCTATAAAGGCATTTTTATCTTTCTTTTCAAACCCACTAATCAAGATGCGTATCTCGGTTTTTATCCTGATTCATTATGGACAATTCTCTACAACGGTGTTATCGATTAATCTGAACTCCTCGAAGCAGTATACTTTGATTGGTATCTCAAAGCCGACCCTAAAAGGCAAAACAGAGCTCCTCCGACAATTTAAAGAAATGAAATTGATTTCACATGAATAGAAAATAATATCATAATGACAATAAAAAAAAAAAAACGAGCATAATTCCGGAGACAGAATGAACGTTAAATAGCACACAAACACAAGGCAGGAGGAAGGCTAGACTGGATTCTATGAACTCAAACTGTTTTTGAAAACATCAATCCCAAAAGTGCCCCAGTGGAGAAAAAAGAAACAGGGATGAAGCCATGACTTTTAAAGTTATACAATATTTACAAAAGTGGATCCAAATGTGATGCGAGAGGCGGTGCCATATACGTGTGTAGATATCTCTACAGCTACAGCCCATCCTGCTGTGGAAAAGTGCCAGATAATCCAAATCAATCAATCGCCACGGAGCCCTTCTTGAAGCCCGACGAATGTCTGAGGGGGGAGAAGCATCGTTTAAACGCTTGTTTTGTGTAAAAATAGAATGGACCTTTTTGTTTAATACTGCTCTCTGACTTACGCTGGAGGTCATGCCGTGTATTTAACCAAATCACTGCACTCTGGTCCAAAACTGTTTAAGGAGTTTAGCCTGCGAGCTGCACAAATGATGATAAAAAAATACAAAATGATAATATAATAGTAATAATCTATGTTCGTAACTAAATCCTGAACTCTGCTCTCAACGCATAAATAGGAGCTGGAGGACCAGCAGAGTCTGGATGCTGAGCGGCCGACAGAGGAGACCCGGGCGATGCTCATCCACAGCTGGACTCCACTGGACTGGGGCTGCAGGCCTTTACTGGCCCTCCAGTTTACTCCATTAACGCAGCTCCTTTGACACCCCCCCCCCCCCCCTCCCCCGTTTTACCCCCCAACTCCCTCCCAACCATCACTGCTGGACGCACAATTTAGAGCTACAAAACTAAACGCCTTTGTATTTTCTTTCCCTTTTACGCACAGGGAAAATGTGTCTTGTGATTTGATATAAAAGTGGCGAATGGAAACCATTCAGCTATGCTTTTAGTCTAAAACAGGTATCCGCCCCCCCCCCCTCACCACCCTCCCCCCCCTCGTCAAGTATAATTTCAATACACAATAGGGGCTACACCTTAAAACTGCGTCGACTGGAGTCACAGTGGGGGGGATGTATCCCCCGGAAAAACACCCAAGGGTTTTTTTCCTTCTACGCTGGGGCACAGGAAAAAAATCCCCCCCCCCCCCCCCCCCCCCCTCACTTATTTTTCCGATATTTACCGCAGATTTTTGATAAGTACTCACTGCCATCTATTATACATAAAACACCCACTATAGCGCGTCATAGTTCAGTGATTTATATATAACCTTGGGGATAAATAAAAGGGATAACGGTGTCCTGGAGGAGCGGTCCAGCGGAGTTCATTGGACCGGGGTCTGGACCCCGTGGTGCGGCGGCGTGTCCCCGTACACATCCTCGCTCCCCGGCAGCGCTCCTCCGGGAGGGGTCATGCGTTTCTCCTTCTGTCTCCGGTTACAAAACCAAACCCTCACCACTTCTTTCTCCAAGTGCAAACTGTCCGCGAGACCGATTATTTCCGACGCCGCCGGTTTGGGGCACTTTAAAAAATGGCTCTCCAGAGCTCCCTTTACGCTAACCTCGATCGAAGTCCGTTTTTTCCTTTTCCTCCCCTGCGCCGCTATTTTGTCCAGGCTGGTCGGGCTCCCCGAGGTGGAGTCCGCCTCCTCCAACCACTTGTTCAACAGGGGTTTCAGCTTACACATGTTTTTGAAGCTGAGCTGCAGGGCCTCAAACCTGCATATGGTGGTTTGGGAAAACACATTTCCGTACAGGGTCCCCAGGGCGAGTCCCACGTCCGCCTGCGTGAAGCCCAGCTTGATCCTCCGCTGTTTGAACTGCTTGGCGAACTGCTCCAGGTCGTCCGAGGTCGGCGTATCCTCGTCCGAGTGGTCGTGGTGGCTCTGCGGTCGGTGCTGGTGCTGATGCTGGGACGCGGGGTGGCCGTGGTCGCTGAGGTGCGGGCTGTGGTGGTCGTCATGACTGTCTCTGAGGTTGTGGTGGTGCATCCCCTGCCCCCCGCTGCCCGGGATCAGCCCGTTCACGCCGAAGCCCGGCTGTGAGTAAATAAGGCTTTGGCCGTTCGTCGTGCCCATGCTCGGAATGTGAGCCGCGGTGGTGGTTCTCCACGCCCGGCCGTCGTGGTGGTTCCCGTGCGTCTGGTGCACCAGGTGCGGCGGCCGCGGCTGGTGCTGCAGGTTGTTGCTGGAGTTGTGCATCTCGTCCCGGGCGCCCTGCACCGCGGGTTTGATGTCCTGTTCCGCGCCGAGCGGGCTGGAGGACCACGGGACTCCCTCTCCGTGGGACAGCGCCGTGATCCACTGGTGCGCGTGGCTGAGCGTGTGGTTGTTGCTCTGCAGCGGGTAGTCGCCCTGCAACAGGCTCTGCGCGTCCCGGTACGCCGTGGCTTGTTGCATGCTGCCGGGCTCCGAATGCACGATGGATGCGCTGGAGGTGAGGATGTTGTAGTGGTTAGACGCTGCGGTCGCCATGACTCTCGGAGCCGGACTGGTCGCTGTTATTAAAGGAACCTCGCATTTGACAGATCCTCTCCTGCCCACAGGCGGCTCTCAGGCACTCTGCCAAGTGGACGCCGAGGCGCACCTGGACTCCGCCACGCCCCCGCAGCTCATTGGACGTCAAGGGATGATGGACGTGGTTGCCAGGGGTAACGACGCATTGATTGGCCGCGGGGAAGTCTCCACAAACACTACTCTCTTTGTTGGAGAGGTGCGAGTTGAGGCTCCCGTGGAAGCGGAGAGCCGGAGTGCAGGATGGGGAGACGGAGCACCGGGATCAGCAGTGCAACTGTAAGATACAGTTGATTTACTTATTATGATGATTATGATGTTTTATCAAGGAGACTATTGTTTCCCATTTTGGGAAGATCAAATGATATATGATATGTGTAGGATATGCAATTGTTTGAGGCAGACTTTTGTCAATTGCAATTTCAGAGCACATTTATGTTATTAATTGTCAAGGAAAGATGTGCGTGCAATGCTGATTTAATTAAGAGATTTCACCTTTTAATTGTAGCAACGGTCGTTAGATTTCAAATGACATGCATATCTTTATCCTCTGCAGATCCAAGAGGCCTGTCTGTAAAATGTGTTTAATGTTTTTAGGAGTGCTGTATACATTTCTGCAGGACGTTGTAGGTTTGTGTTATCTGGTCAACTTGGTTTGTGTGTGTATGGAATAATACACTGCATAAAGATGTCCAATCATTAGTTTTAGGTGAAAATAACAAATTTGAAATATTTACATTTTTAAATTAATTTGCTCGTGAAACAACCCGACCAGGCTGAATATAAATGTGCATGTTGACACGGCAGCAGGTAAACAATCGCAAGGCTATGCACTCTTTTGATACATACAACTATAATACAGTTTGATTTTCTAAATCATTTGGCAAAGGAAAAAACTCCGGCATGATTAACTCAAATCCATTTCATTATAATTTCCTTCTCTGTAAAAAACCTAAAAATACATTTTGATATTATGTTATAATATCTTACTACGTCGTGGTAAAAAAATATATTAAGTCTTGGAAATATATATATATATATATATATATATATATATATATATATATATATATATGGGCAAGTAGAAACTTCTACCGGCCTATAAAGTAAATAGATCCACTTTTGTGCCCTAAGAAAATATGTTTATTTATATATATATATATATATATATATATATGCATACATGCATAGATGAATTATTTGCATATATATATATAAATTCAATTTAATATTATGTATATATATCAAATGTTTAAACATCAAACTAAGCTATTTATGTGTTTTTCAAATTGTCTCTTTTACAATGTAGTTTGAAGCGTGGCTGCTGCTCCTAAATGGTTGCTTACAACCCAGTTATGGATCTATGTGTGATCACTGAAGCTGGGTTGGATCATTAGAGCCCCTTAGGTCTGCCTTACATCCCTAAAAGAGATTTTGAAGTTATTTTTCCTTCCTACATACATCTTTTTTTTTAGAGTTAATTGTGTGTGGAAAGCTCCTCTGCTCATCATCCAGTAGAGTAAGAAAACACACAAGTGAAGAGGAGGATTAAGTCCATACTCAGGCCTCCATGTCCAGGGTTTCCATCCCGTCCCAGCTGCCGTCCCCCCTGTGTCAGCTTCAGGGACCAGGACTTTGTCCAGAGAGGGGACATTCCTGGCCGACCGCTGCTGGTTGCCATAGGGAGAGGTAAATGAAACAACGGCGGTCGAGTCGCTGCTGCCCCCCTCCCTGTTCCTGGACTATCTAAAGGCCTCTATTTAGAGAGGCTCTCTGCTGCGGGACAAAGCCCTGGCAGGGATAAAGGAGGGAGGGGTAAAGAGCACAGGGCCCAGAGAGGGAGAAAGGACTAGAAGAACTGAAAAAGATGAGAGAGATTATGTCTGTCCCCAAAGCTGCTCCTCACACTGCAGTTAGATAAAGCAAACTGTGTGAAGAAAAATACAAACACAACTTCAAAAATATATGGCCAGGCAGAAGGCTTCAACTTGCTAACTTCTGGAGCAGTATCTTAATTTTGAAAACTAGAAAGCAATATTAATTCCTACTGTATAGATGCAATTAAAAAGCCCTTTTTGTCAGTCTGTGGCCTATAACAATTAAATCCACCAGAAATAAAGTAATACATACTAGCCACAAATTAAACCTATAAATCAATGGAGGCAGTTCTTCAATATTCACAATTTTTAACTTCTAAACTATGCAAATGACTTAAACTGTAATTAAACATTTTATCTAATAATTTGGAGCTATAACTGTAAAATTAAATGGCAATAAAAAAGTAATTATCATTATTTTTTCACAATAAATGATCAAACTGCAGTAAAAACAGAAAACTAAATACAGAGTTCACACACACACACACAGACACACACACACACACACACACACACACACACACACACACACACACATCATTCTTAGCTTCTTAATTTATACAGAAAGTTCACACAGGGACACATGTCGTGTTTATAGACTGAGGTCTGTGGACAATACAGGGCTGGTAACAAAGGGAAAGTGCTAATTACAAAAGGCTCCAGATTCCATGCTTTATATTTTCTGGATAAAATGTTGATATTGTAGATGGGTGTTTGCCAGCTTTTCTTTTGTATTGATGCTGTTTTTAGTGGCCAAAATAGATCTTTTGAATCCCTGCTGTTACTAACAAAGATGAATAAAGCATGAAATCTAATCGTCCTAAAATGAATGGTTACAAAATTGCATATCAAACACATATTTTGTCATATTAATCATTTAAAGGCAAACCTAAATGTACCAGCCTATCAAAGAAAAGATTGGATATTGCATTTAAAGACATGTAGTCTTTACAGATGTAACAGCAGCTACACATCTGTAATGTTCTCTGATGTTATTGGTCGGTTTACGTTGATGCTATCTGTAAATATAAGGAAACCAGGCCTATAACGGTCAGTCAAGAAACAAAACATGCTCATATTCAATCCATTCTAACTCGAGCTCTTCAATTAAGTATTGCTGATTGGGCCTTTAATGGATCTCATTTGGGCTAATAATCCTTTATGGATGTGAATCCAGCTGCAATGATGGCACATGAAGACGCCGGGATTTAACTCATGGGAGGAAAAGTTTCCAGGCACGGCTCAGTAATTCATCCTGGTAATATTGAACATTATTGTGGCGTAACATTGAAATCGGCCAAATCAAAAGAACATTGTGGTAATTACGCTGTAATTCAAGGAATTACCACATCGCCACACAGGCTTAAATAGTCGTGTTGGGAGAAACGCAAAGCACATTATTTTAATGGTCTAATATGCAAACTATGGCTCGTTTCAATTACATGGCTTAACAATGCATAAATGATGCAAGCCTTGTTATTTGGACTGCAGGGTCGTCAGTTATTCAATCACTCGGAGGGGCCAATGTTAGGGGCCATGATGCCTCCCCTCCTACAGTAAAAACACGGCGCTGAGCAAAGAGGGCCGCTGCCAAACTACATTTAAGGGAATAAAAATGAACAGCAGAGAATGTAAGCGTTAAATTAACAGTAGGATAATTATATGACCCGTGTGCTGTAAAGATTCAATTTCTAACGCTCTAATTAGGCGACTGTCTCCTCATACATCAGCTCACATCCCTCTGCCAATTTCTCACCAGAAAGCGTCCTGTGAGCGGAAATAATTAGATTTTATTAAGACACGGCTGGCGTAATAAAGAAAATCAAAGGATGGGCTGGTTGAATAAGATGTGTTTTTTAAATCATTGATTGTTCCACCCACACAGTCCACTGAGCCTCGCTTAATAGCAAGGACATTTGAGTCCAAACTAGAAGCTGGGATCTGTCTGATAATACTAACTCGTATAATGAACTGTCCACTGCCTACTGGAGGACGAAATAGTCCACATATTCAAAAATCAAAATAGTACGGTTCCACAATTCTTCTTCTCCATACTACCAGTTATAATGAGCCAATCATGGTCCCACGTTCAACTTACACAAGTGCGATGCGAAATCTTGAAAAAGTACACCGACTATGAGTCGACTCTAAAGTAAGAGACATCTTGTGTCTCATTGTTCAAAATCAAACATATTTGCATATTCAAAGCTTCTGTATTTTTAGAAGTAAAAAAGAGATTTCTTTTGTTTCTTTTGTTCCCATATGGGAAACAAATAATTATTCCAGTAACTGTATCTTGAATCCTGTCTTCGGGGGATCTTTAAATTACTTGTTTTGTCCAAACAACAACCCCAAACCCAAAGATATTAGTTTAGTATCATAGAGGTTGAATAACTGGAACAGTTTCCCATTTGAGATGCTTCAATTATTTAACAAAAAAGTAAAATAGTTGCTTTTTGTTTCATATAAATTGATAGGTACTTTCCCATATTGAATATTGCTATGTCTAGACTATTACAACAGGAGATACAATCCAACGAGGAACAATTAGATTCTTACCAACTTAGCATTTAGTGCCACAAAGTCTCCGATGGAGCATTATGGGTTTATTACAGTCTCATCTTCAGGGAACAACCCCGTCTAACTGTATATTTCTCTGCTTAGTATCCACCACAACTTTGACTTGTTTGTTCTCTTTTACTCTAAGAGATTGTAGCAAAATGAAAGATATCCTGCGTTAGAACAAAGTAACTTTCATCGTTACGCTATGGAATATCTACAGCCATTCAAAACTTTTTTAATCATGCACAGATCAATTGCCACAAAGTAAAAACAAAGACGTCATGTTGCTGAGGTTTATTTCAGATTGTTCGGATATCAATAATTCTCATTCGCCTGGAGTCTTACATAACGAGAGCCCACGCCCAGGCCTTTCATCCGTACTGTAATGGCCGTGTGCATCAAAGAGGGGGGAGATTGACAGGCTGCATGGGAGGATTATTACAGTGGGTGAGTACCGGGTCGGGAGGGATAGGAGAGGGAGTAAGAAATGGGCTGAGGACGAGGAGGAGGAGGAGGACAATGAGAGAAAAGTAGAGGAGGACAAAAAGTGGGGAGAGAGTTAACGAGACGGAGAGCATTAATTGTGTGCATTGTGCCGGGGCTCTTTTGCAGAGTGTGGCTGTGGAGGTGCGGGCGCTAACCCCTCCAGCAGCCCGCCGTGATCTGAGCCAGCTCTCAGACTGCTGTATTCCAATGCAATTAGGCCACTCAAAGGCCTGCTTAAAGCTGCACCCTCCCCCCCTCCACCCCCGTTCCCCAACCACACTCACACACACACTCAGATAGCAACAGCCCCTGTGGGTCCCCTCCATTGTAGCGGGGAGGTGTATTCTGCCCCTCTTTGAGGCCCTGGATGAAGAGACCACCCTGGGGAGCAGAAAAAAGGGAGGATTACCTGTCTTTTTGTCCCTTCCCCTCTGTCTTTCTCTCTTTTGGTCTCTTTATCTTTCTCTCTCTTTTGGTTCAGGAGTTCACCTCTAAATCGGCTCAGAGCTGAGTTTGGGTTAGCTCATCCAGAGAGACACTACTTTTTTTTGTTTTTTTTTAGCAGGAGGAAACAGGAAGAAGAAGAGCAATGAGGCATTTCTGTGATGGATGTCATTGTGGGACTCCTTTAGCAATATCGCTTTCCCCTTCCTCTTTCATTATTCATGCAGTCATATATTTCAACAAGTGGCGCGGGGTGTGTAGCTCACTAGCTCGTCCCCGTTGGCACCGGCGCCGCCGCCCCGCTCAGTCGGTCCCCTCTGTGTGTGTGCCGTATTAAGAGAAAGCTCTTTGCGACGGTCCTCTTGGCTGCGTGCCTCGTTCCCCAGAAAGCATTTAAAGCAGATTACCAACCCAACGCTACACCTCCCTGATAAGAGAAGAGAGGGGGGGAAGAAAAAAAAAAAAACCTGGCACATTAACACCTGCAATACTACTCAATGGCATCAACAGATTAACGAGGTAATCCACACAATGAGGTCTTTGATTCGTGTGCTTTGGCAGTCAATAACGGCAGGCATAATGCACACTGTTATTTCAGACTGTCCCAGCACGAGAAAACCTGGCAGAAGCCGCTCCCTTTTTTTTTTTTTTTTTTCGTCTTCCGCCCCCCAACCCGTCAGATGAGCTTTTGAAGAATTTCAACTGGTGCATCTGCTGTGTTTGCCTGTTTCCTTGTCAGGGAAATAACCTGCTGGCTTCTCCCGTGACACAATATGAGGGGAAAAGGGGAGGAATCACAGGCCTTCCGAAGGCTGTTTAAACAGCAGGGCTGAGAAGCTCTCCCTCGTCCCCCCCCCCCGCCTATTTTTCTGCAGAAAGACGTGCTTATAGGATGTGTGCATGTGTGCGTGTGTGTGTGTGTGTGAGAAACATCTCATTGCTCATGTGCAGCTCGATTAGCCCCACGTGCCTCGTTCGTCAGACGTGGAGGCACAGCAGATGGCAGGAGACGCTCCATGTTACCACGCTGAGGCACTATGTAACGCTGCTCTAATTGAAACATCAATACTGCCCTGTCAATACACTACTGCTACTTTACAAAACACCATCACCTACACACCTGCCATTGACATCTTGGTTTCACGTTGAGCTGGGAAAGAAAAAAGTTTCAGGCCGATTCCACAAGGACAACAAAATCCCTTTTTTTCCAACACTGTCTGCAATGGTTTGTGGTCTTTTCAATATCCTAATTTCAATTGAACACTTGAGCTGGTTTCTGTTTGTGTACAGAGTTACGGCGTAGAGGAAGAAGGCAGAAATAAGACGGAGAATCTCCTCTGTTGCATCTCCGCTGTGGCCCATTTTAATGAATTGATAAAAAGTTAAGGGAGTTCACATGGCTGTGATCAGTAATTCAACTTTATTGGAAAGTCAGTAGAGAACAGAGAGAAATTAGGCGGCTAGAAATTAATTTGCTATTTGTCCAACTCAATGATGAGTGACGCAGCCTCTTTAATGAATGGGTAATCCATTTCTTATTGCACCGAGCTGAATTCACCCTTCAATGGAGTGGAAAAAAACAAACATATCTTTCACTAACCTTTGCAACATGCAAAAGCAAAGTGGGGGAAGATGAGTGCAGAGACCTGGTCCACAGACGATTTGTTTTAGCGTCGGGTTTATATGTTTTTGTGTGTGTGTTTCCGGGGGGAGTGATTGAGTTTTACAGCTACTGTAAGTTAGGAACCGCCAATGCATTATTTGGGCCTAAAACAAGGTCCCACAGTCAAAGTGCTGGACATGGAGCTGCCTCATGATCAACGGGTTTCCTGCGACGTGGAAAACAACAATCTTTATTTAACCATGGTTCATATTTGTTTTTTCAGTGCCTCTCCCCCCCCTCCTCCCCTCCTCACGGCTCACAGCTTCTCCTCCTCCCGGATCTGAAGCGTCGGACTGCTGACGACATCCTGGAGATTCTGTGATGGTAAAGATCCGTTTTCTCTGTCCACATCACGCCTGATGGTGTTGGTCCCATGCAGCTCCGTCGTCACAGCTGAAGGTCGTGACTCGGTGGAGGGCGTCTGTCGGATGTAACTGTTGAATACAGTACGAATCGCAATTTGGTCAAATTACACGTATCTACAAACATGAAGCCCCTTAACTATCACATAAGCAAAAGAACGACAGGAAATGCTTTCACACGTGAGGCAGAATGAAAGGATTAATGATCTATATAGTACAATAATTAATTGAAGATTTTTCAAATGCAAAAGTAGACACACATTCTACACAAAACACAAATTTTCTATTTGTACATTAAAAAGGAAGTACAGTGAATTTAAAAACAAATGGAAAATATTGCATTAAATCTTGTTGTGTTGATAAAGGCTAAATGGGAAGTTTAATTGAAAAAAAAAACAGACATATTTGTTTAACGGTATGAAAATAGAACGTCACTCAAACCTCCTCTCCACTAGAGAGGCAGAAAACAAGAGCACACAACAACATTAGATCTGTGTGGAGCGATGGGACGTTCTTTTAATTAATGCACAAACACAAATGCCACATTTCCGTCACGTTTTCTAGAGTTCTCTTCGTACCGTTTCAGATTTGACTGGCGCTCTTTTAACGATGTCGTCTTTTTGCGTCTTATTCTTCTTCTGCTGCTGTCGTTTAAGAGAATAAGCCCCACCGACTTTTTACTTTGATGAAGTCCCTCCTAATATTCGCATCAGTAGTGGAAAGAAACAAGAATTATTCTTCACAGATTTTCTGGATGGAATCAACTGATCTATCTGGACTTGTGGCGCTGCAGCTTACCTGGAACGCCGGACTGGAGGTCAAGAGCTTGTTGAGGGCGGGATTATCCAGGCCTAAATCCCCAGGGACCTTCCACATCTGGATGATCAGATGAACAGATATTTGGTGTTAGAGACCAATAAGTGGCAGCATAGCATAAACAGCCATAGATCTCGTCCTGTTTGCCAGGATATAAGCATTGGAATTACTGTGATTAAGGCAAAAGGTGTAGCTCCAAATAACCTGTTTTAAGGTGACGCACATGATAAAGATTTGAAAAAGAAGAGTTCAAATCAACGGAGCAGGGCGGAGATCCGCTCCCTACTAATAATCCTTTCATTAAAACAGGAAAGCTGTTAAAGCTACGACTTGTAAACTAAGGGGCCCCTTTAATCTGATTATTATGAAAATACTTTGACGTATTTATAGTGGTGCGTTATTCGTTCTTGTTAAGACTCTTTTAGGTCTTCCGTCTGTTGCACTTCACACCAGCACCACTTGCTGCAGGGGCTGTGACTCTTTTGACACCCCTTCCCCCTCCACCCTCCCCTCCCCCCGCTTCTCCCTCCCTCCACGTGGATGTCGTGGGTAAAAAAAGAAAAAGAAAAGAGAAAACACCAGAAGATATCTGATTCCAGCCTGTTAGCTCAAGGGAAAAGAAACACAAAATGTCCACAGGAGCGGCGTTACAGACCGGTGGCTCAAGTTTTTAGGGACTGTTGACGTCTCCGAGTGGTGAGGGATCCCGAGCCGGCAGCTGACAGCGGGGGCTTCAGGGATACAGTATTTACAAGGCACGTGGAAGTGGGAGCGCTGCAACAGACGGCACCGTACATGGCGCTTTCAATTATTTCTCGCAGCATTCAGGAAAATAGAAGCTCAGCGGGGAGAACAGTATGAAAAGCTCAACTATGAAAAAACGAGAACTCCCGAGCTACAATAAATGGCACCGTGCGCTGCTGTTGAAAATAGTCCATTCTCTAATACAGGAGAAACAGAAATAATGCAGTGAAGTGCAGAGACGGGAAGCCATGATGGAGCAAAAACCACAGCATTAGTCATTGGAGTTTGGGTTTGATAGCATCTAAAAGTGTGTTTTCAAACTGAAGTTGATCTGACACCTCATGCTAGAACCACTTGTGGTCCAGGCCCGTTGCACAAGTCAGTACAGATAGTCTTCCTTCCTCCACAGGCGGGGAAACACAGGATTATACTGTCCTACCCGGAATGAGTTAATATGGGTCTTAATATGATTCTACAGCCGGGCCAGCGGCTCTGTGAGGCTGTACGCTGCACAGCGGCGCTATGAGCTAAATGCTACCGTCAGTAAGCTGACAGGCCAACGCCTGCAGCACCAGACGAGGCTTTGGACACGTTCAATTCAATCCAAACTTTTAACTGGTACTCTAAGATTTCTTGTTTACCTTGCTCACCATAACATTTGACAATTAGCGCTAAACACAAAAGTACAGATAAAACCAAAATAGGTATATACAAATGTTTAATATATTGCCAAAATCATCCTTTAGGAACGATTGATGTCGCTTCAAATGGCAATCCATGAGATACTTCAGACCAAAGTAGTGGATCGACCAACGGACTGACACTACACTTCATCTGTCACTGTTCTCAGAGATCAAGAACTTATTTGCATTTATTGTATTCTTTTTTTTTTTTACATTATACTAGTGTATCTGTCTTTTCATGAAAAATGACCCAGTTTGGTTTATGCATAATCTTCATGATACCTTTACCTATAATGGGGATACCTTTTCAATGTCACACTGACCTTCCCCCTATTTAAAGTCCAAACGTAAAAGTTAACATGTAGAACTTTCCCCTGAAAACTAAAAACATGAAACGAAAATGTGTGATCAAGTACCAACTTGCCTAATACTTCACAATACGACACAATGACACAATACGAAGATATCTGGATCCTTTGTTTGAGAGACAGTAGCTCATGTTCACAAAAAATAATAAAACATTCCTGGGCCATGGAAATAACAAATGGCCATTCTTCATTTACGTGATTAATTTGCTTGAACGAGACGTTTTTGCTGCAGGTATATTCACCCATAAGTTCTGATCCCCTGACACCACCACTGAATATCAACTTCCTAAAAGTGATGTGATCTGCTTTATAAACCGTTAATCCCATCCATCCATGCATCCAAGTGGCTTTCAGCAAGTTGAGATGGCCGATTCATGTCAATCTCAGCAGTTCAGAAGGTTCAGTGAATCAGGTTTGAAACTTACGAATGAAAGTAGGAAAGACGTTGAGGATACAAACACAGAAATGATGTCGCACGAGGCCCAAATGAGTTCATGGTTTGAGGTTATAATAACACAACAAACGTGTTTGTCTGATCTGCTTCCTATTATTCTTGTAACCGTGCTGTTCTCAGCAATTAACTTACTGGGGTGTTTTATAAGCAATAGAAATTATGACAAAACAAGAGGTAATAAACCGAAAGAACATGGTGCAGATCGGTACATTTGGCTTATATATTGTGGCACTGGAATGCTCGCACGCCTACACCGCATCCTTTCTGTCCTCTAAGTCATTAACGGAAACAGATGACAACCAGTTTATCCCAGAGCTGATCTCTGTCTCCTCCTTTAGATGAGAGGCTGTTAGTGAGCGAGCGAGAGGGAGAGCGAGGCTCCCAGACAGAGATGTTTGTTTCCCAGTCTCTGTGGGACGGCCCTCCCCGTCCTCCCACCAGCCAACCAACCAACACCCTCCACCCCCCCCCCCCCCTCCACCCCCAAAACCTCGTGGATCAAACAAAGGACATCATTTGTAGGCCAAGTATTTTTCTGAGCGTCTCTCTCTCCTTGGCTCTGCGCACCAATCCAATACAGCCGTAGGAAAAAACAGCCCCGGTGCGTGTGTGTATATGCGAGTGTGTCTGGGCTGGGGGTTGGAAGGTCTGTTTGCCTCTCCGCCGAGCATCGATTTATCCTTTTCTCCAATTTATTTCTCCTCCTTGCCTCTACGATCCATTCAGATCTGCCTCTAGGGGAGGAACTCGGGGTAAAGACGTTGTCAGGCCTCGTTGTTTCCTCCTGTGAGCGGCTCAAACTCCGCCTACAGGCCCGGGGACCGTGCAGCCCTGCAAGGACATGTCAGGCATCAACTCGCACACAGACCGAGCTACCTGTTGTCCAGCAGGACACTTGTCAGAGCTGTAATTGGCCTCATAATGCAGCCTAAAGGGCGTAGATAGAAGGCTTACATGATTGTGAGAGGATAATAGTCTGAAAGGGAATTATAGTTGTTTTAGTTCGGACACTGTGCTGAAAGACGGGTCAGTGGACCATACAATGTCCTCTCCTTTGAAAGGGGAGGCATGCCCTGCTCTAGTTTCTCTAACAACTGCAATAGCTCCTCATAATCAGGCCAAGACTCAGCGTATGAGCAGATATGATCAGAATAACAATATCTCAAGTCCCCGTTCAACTGTCTCTGTGTGTGTGTGTGATTCTGACATTTTCAGATGTTATTACGGCGACTCGAGGATTTGTATCCTGAAGCGTCGGCACTGTCGACACCGTTGAACAGAAATGCTGCATGTGCACAAATCCCGCCGTCGTACCGTCCCCCCGCCCCCCTCCCACTCACACACAAAGACAAACACACACACACACACACACGTATGGCAGAGATCTGCGAGCCATTCTTCAGTGTCAGAGTGAGCGACGGCTGGCACATCCTTACACCTGAAGTTGATCAATGCCGATATGTCCAGGGGGAAATTGAAATCCATAGGAAATTAGGCGGCACCAGTGATTTATTGGAATAGTAAATCACAGTGTGTGTGTGTGTGTGTGTGTGTGTGTGTGTGTGTGTGCGTGTGTGCGCACGTGCTTGAAAGATGTGCGTTCCCGCTCTGTGTACAAGTACTGTACCTTGTGTCTGGCTGGGACACTGATATCGGCAGCGCGCACCTTCCTGTCTCTCTCCATTTGGTAGACCCATTGAATCAGCTCCAGAGGTCGGTGCGCCTCCCTGTGAGGGACGGGGTGACGCAGCCCCATGGACACAATGCTCTGCAGGGGTCCATCTGAAAGAGATAAAGCATTGGACCGCTGCTAAAGCTTGCTATGGCACCGTTCACCTCAGTAGCTCTGTTTTGAAACAAGTGTGCAGTACAAGTACATTTTGCACGAGTGTTTGAAATCTTGCCAAAGATAATATTTAAATAAGCCCTTTAAATGCGTTCACTGCACCAGATTAATACAAATAAAATTCTTCCAAGGTCACTTACAGATTTGAATCCCTGAATTTTTGCTATTCTATACAGCACTTAAAGTTGCACATCTCTAGAGCTTCACTATGTTATCTTTTTTTTGTTGTTAGTGGCGCTGCTGTTTACTATTTAAATTGCCTACAGATGTACGAGGGATTTGCTAAGAAATGGTGCAAAGTGTATTCCGGTGCTACTATTTGCAGCTTTATCTCATTGATATCCTCCTCACTGTTATCTCCACCACTGTGTCAGAGCTCTATCACACTATTTAGCTGGCATAATACAGGGCGCCTCTTATTGTGAAGGAGTCATAATAAAATGTTTGAAGACCAGACTAAAGAAGTCAAAATTGTCAGTTTGGCGAAGAACGCACATACACAGCTATAACAAACAGAACCTTCTCAAATGATGCTCTGAGCAAATATAAGACCATTTACAGGTAAATCCTGCTAAGCTTATTATTAACAAAAAAAAGATCCAAAAAATCCAAATAAATTGATTGCAGAATTTCTTTGGCAAAATTGATTGAACAAATAAATATTCAGCCTTTCTAATTTGTTACATTTGTTCAAAAGGAAAACAGATACTGCTATTCCCGCTTCGTCTATCACATAATGTCTGATGCTGATGTGAGTGATTAAAACAACTGACTTTCTGCTTAACCTAAACTAGCTGCATTAAGAGCAACACTCGACTTTAGAGAGTTTCTATTACGCTTTCTCTGCTTGTTAAAGTAATCTGATCCATTCGGGGCGGAAACCATAAGACAGGCACACTTGCAGGGAGACGGGAGAATCTCAAATATCGGAGATGGCATTCATGCGTGAATGTTCAAATGAATCCACGGGGATATTGTCAGAAATAAAACAGAGACAGTGTGTAGCGTGAACCCCAATTCAAGGATTACCGGCCCCCACACACACGCTCCCACACCCCTTCACTTGCTGTTTTTTTTTTTTCTTCTTCCAGGTACAATGCTTGTGTTCCAGCTTGTTTTTGTCCTGCTTTAATTGCTTTTTTTCTCTTTTTTTTTTTTTTTTTGCAGAGAAGAAGAAAAAGACAACAACAAGGCGCCGAGAGCTGCAGCTAATGGAAAGGCTGTAATTGTGAATGGGGGCATTCATCTGGAGACGTCGTCCGTGAATTGCGCCGCACAAAGCGCAGCGCCGGGCTGCTCAGATCACCAGCTAGTCACCAAACACGCACACACACACATGCACACACACTGACGCACACACCGAAGCCCCTTAGATCACTGGTGCTCGGAGGAGGAGCGTAATCACACCTCGGCCCGGGAGCAGGACAACGGGGAGGGGAGAAGGAGTGATGGACTGGGGGCGGGGGGATTTATACAACGAGAGGTGAAGGAGGAGACAGGGTTGTGAAATTGGAGTTTCCGACCATTTCATTTGGACCATGCAGCCCACGAGGAAGATCAGATAGAGCCACATTCGCTTGACCCCCCCACACACACACATGCATACACACAAGCAAAAAAAAGCATGGTCTGTTTCCCACATAGGCAAGGCTGCACGCACATACAAAGTGTAACACACAGACATACAAAACTTAACAATATGTGTGTAACTTCAGATCAGAGAACTATCTAACGAGCGCCGCGCCTCTCTCCTCCAGCTGAAACACACACACACACACACACACACACACACACACACACACACACACACACACACACACACACACACACACACACACACACACACACACACACACACACACACACACACACACACACTCACTCACTCACTCACCCCCCTCGACCAAACAAACACCATTAAGCCAAAACCCACATAAAGACGGCTGAAAAAGACGCATCAAAGTGACGGTACGTGTAAAGACAACCCTCATGTCAGCGCGGCGGCTCCTGTACCTCCAGAGAAACATCAGGAAACGACAACTCAATTAAACACACCGTCCCTGTTCAATTACTGCCACATAATCACTGCATTTTAGCGTCACTTGCCACCAAACCAACACAAACACATGCAAGCACGCGTACAGAGTCAGAGAAGCAACGCACACACACACACACACACACACACACACACACACGCTGGAGCTTCATCCTCCACAGCTTGCGCTTAAAGCTCGGCTGTAAAACAATTACATGTGCAACTGTGTCCACTGTACTGTAAACAGCGTCATTCAGTTTCACAGTGTCTGTCCTGTGCTGTTGCCTTTACTTTAGCAAAAAAGCACATTATAAATGTTATAAATGTCTTAAACTGTCGGAATACAGAAAATTACATCTGCAAGTAGGTCAACTGAGGTGTGAATGAAAGGAGAGCTCCAGCGTTTCAGCCAATTCTTGACAGGCTGAGATTCTAGACATCCATTGCTGTTATGTAAGAGACCTGCATTAAAACCTCCCCTCTGTTTCTACATGTAACTGTTTGAGAAAGCTGTTGAGTCAACTGATTTTCAGATTTATGGTGCTGTTAATACAGTGCATGATTCTGAGAGGTGTTTCTCATATTATGTCAACCCTTTTTACATAGAAGAGCCTCATTTGGACCATTATGAAGCCTGCATTTGTTGTAGCTGGGTGAACCAAATATAATGGCAACTGTACTTTCACTACAATTCACTATTATTTGTGAGACATGTGAGATTCATGGGCTCAGGTGGGTTATATTAATCATAAAAGATTCATAAACAAACTTTTGTGCAAACCATTCTTATCATAATTTGATTAAAAGAGGGGATTTTTAGGGTTGGTGCTCGACGTCTTGGCTCTAAGTCTTAATGCAACAGCAAATAACCATTCTAAACAATAGTGTTTAAATGTAAAATAACATCAATATATCCAAATTGATGTATTCTAAACGCAGCATAACAGGAGTTTGTCTAAAATTTTAAATCAGAAAGGAAAAAATGTTGGAATGAAACATGGAGCCGGCAAACTACTGCAAAATGATGGAATTGGGGAAAAGAGTGAGGAATGGCAACACTGTAGGAACCTGTTAATGAGTAGTGTGTGTGTGTGTGTGCGTACATGTGTGTTTGTGGAAAGCAGATTGACTAACAGCTTGAACTTGGGTTTGATCCAGAAGCACGGGGAGAGAAACATGGATGGATGGAGAGAGAGGGAGAGGAGGAGGGAGAGAAGGAGGGAGAGACATCGATTTCTCAACAGAGACATCAGCATCTTGACAGAAAGAGCCGAGAGAGCAACACACACACACACACACACACACACACACACACAGGGTTCCCACTGTCCTCCGTGACCTTTCCGTGTCCCTCCAGGTTTCCTGAACCAAGCTGAAATGACTGAAAAAGTGAAGCTACTACAAAAATGTAAATAAATCCTTCTACAAAATGTCCAAACGTTCAAAGGTACATTTGTGAAGGTCCTTGATTTCTCCTGATTATCTTTCAAAGTCCATGGTATCCCAGGACCACCTTGACCGGAAGAACCCCCCCCCCCCCCCCCGATGACACAGACCAACAGCATGGTGTGGTTCACGTCTCTCTCCCAGCATGCAGCGGTGATTCTAACAACCCTAAAACCCCCGACAGGGAGACGCAGGACGCTGCGGTTGCTTCATGCTGGTGTGGCTAACGAGAAGTGTGTGTGTTTTCGAGGTCTCGGGCACCAGGAGAGCTGACTCACACCGTGGGAGAGGAGCCGGCATCGGAGAGGTGCATTCAGGGGTCACTCTGTAATTACACATCACGCCCGTGGTCCTGCGGTCAGGGGCCCCACTGACCTCCTCAGACCTCGGTGAGAGGCTCAGAGCGTCAGCGGAAGGCAGCTGGAGGTTCGGAGCGGAGGGTTTGCAGAGCTTCCAGAAAACTTCTGTACATCTCATATTGAATGACTCGTTTCTCTGTTTTTTTTCCGTTTTCATTTGCTGCGTTTAATCAGCTGATACATTGATTCATTTGACTTCCAGTGGGTGTTGTTTCTAGAAAGTACACCGTGTCAAACCTCCACAGCAACCCCGCCTCCATTCTCACCTCAGCTCGCACGTGTTCAAAGCAGCGCGAGCGCTCGACGCTCTCACGTACCGTGCGCGGCCCGGCGTGGGCGGTAGGTGCCGTAGAGGATGAGTGTGGCGCTGAGCACGGCTCCGGATGCCTGTTCGTCACTCGGCCTCGAACAGCTCATCGCTGTGCCTTTGTGGTCGGTCACCTGGTAACAAACAAAGTGGAAAATCATTCCAGCGATAAAAAACAACAACAACACACTCTTCATCGGGAGAGTGGAAGTCTGCTCAGTTTGTCCCAGACAAAGAACCAGGGTTCTACTTCCGGTCCAAATCCTTCTCTATGAAGCTCCATGAATCCCAGATAAACAAGCTCGTCACATGATCAGTGGCGCCCTGTTTCCTACACAGTAACGGGGCATCTGTGGGGAATTATAGATCAGCTTGTGGAAAGGCTCCTTTCATATTTTAAACCTTAACCCTTTCTCTCTATGTTAGAGGGAATAAAACAACTAATTATGCTCAATACTCGTTTTTGTTCCTCTCTTCCAGAGCTGAAATCCTTTAGTTTGTTTTCATTCAGCTTGTCGCACAGGTGTGATGAATCGGATCCATTCTGACGTCATTGAACGTTGACTTCAACACCAATGACTTGTACCTGCCCTTATTGACTTGGATCCTTAAACGTTTGGCCGTGCAAACCATCCGACAGATCATCGCAATTAGAAAAAACAAATCCGTCAAATTTGAATTCTTACTATATTTTATCAGCTGCTTACTATAAAAGTTCAAAATCACTTTCAGCATTTGGAGTCTTTGGTATTTACAAGAGAAAAATCATGAAAGTGAAAAGCCCCTGCCGCTCCTAGCTCAGCTGTCCAGCCTGCCTGTGTGTCTGTGTGTGTGTGTGTGTGTGTGTGTGTGTGTGTGTGTGAGTGCACCCGGCAGACCAGAGGCCGGACATGTCGGCCCCCCAGCCGAGTGCTGCATTGATTTGTTGTTGGTAAACAAACAGCTGGATGCTACAGGTGGATCGACCCGCCTCGCAGGCCTTTCAGCCTCCCAGCATGCCTTTCTGCAAGTTAGACATGGCTCACAGTTGAGCTGCGACCCCTCATGCCACCTCCTGAGTCAAACATTTTGAGTTGCTCGGATGTTTTTAATTGAGCTGAAGTTAATTTTTAATGCGTTTGCTATCTGGACAACAGGAAACACGGAATTATTTATTTCTTAGAAGAAAAATATCCCATTGTCCTGTTTGGTGACGACGTCAGCCACTCTATGCTGTAATAATGACATATTACATATTAACTACAGAGCATTAAAAAGTGAGATATCCGAGCAGAGACAAAACCAGGGCATGAATGAAAGAGAAAATAAACTGAATTTGAGACAAAAGAGAGACAAAGAAAATGAAGGGATTAGCAGAAGCAGAGGCACTGAGGGTACAGGGGGAGGATTTCAAAGCAAGGGAGACAAAATACAGAGAGAGAGAGAAAAGGGAGGTGGAGGGATTAGTGATGGGGAGCGATGGAAGGATATGGAGACGGGTGAGCGCCGCGGAGACGAAAGTGAGACCCAGCGATAGAGGATGAGCCTGAGAGGAGAAAAGAATCCACAAGGTTACAGAGTCAGGAAAACAAAGAAGAAAACGAGGGATAAAAGCGTCGGAGGAAGACAGAGAACAACACTGACAACGACAGCTATGAAGGAGGGGAGTCCTAAACACGATTTATACAGAAGGGAAGCTCGACGAGGACGGTTTGGAGACGGAACTGATAAGATTTCTTCCTGTTGGAGAAGGTTGCACTGTTTAGTATCAAAAAGTTGTATCAAAAATGTTTCCCAGGAGGCCGTGCAGCCTTTAAGCCACCAGAGCCTTCTGGTGCTCCAGCTCCAACACACAATTCCAACACATAATAGTAAATAACGCAGTTTTAGAAAAAACGGTTAGTGGATTAGAGGAGATGAGGAGGGCATTTGACTGTATGGCTTGTGCGTGTGTCTGGTTGTATAAATCAAAAAGTGAACCAGTGGCATCTTGGCATACTCAGCGGTAATGGACAGGATAATAAAATGAAATATGTCCTTTGCTAATTTTTCTAACTAATCACTCCTGGGTTTTTTTGGCCACATCAACAACAATTATAGTCAAACTCAAGGGAGAATCCAACCCATAATTGTTATTACATACTGGGAAATGTCATTCATTCCCCGCTCTACAGACCATCTTTATTGAGAAAGACTTACTTATGACCTTGCTACAGAAAAATACATAAATAAAATAGATACGTATTATTCCTTCCCTCACCTCACAGTGTGGTATCTGTGAATGACAGATGTAAAATCAGTAACACCAAAAGTAACAAGTACCAACAAAAGCATTCAGTGGCTAGTTTACTTTGACGGAATAAACGAGAGCCTCAAAATAAAAGCCTAGGAAGGGAACCTGTGCGTGTTGGCTGTGCTGAGGGGGGGGGGGCAGTCAGATGGGAGGGGACGAGGTGTCTTGCTGTGACTACATATGTAAAGCAGCAGGGAAGCAGCAGCGTGTCACACTGAGGCTCTGGCCCAACCTGGGCTCCTCGCTGATCCCTCCAACACATCAATCATCCAAAACAGGGCCATCATGCCCACATCGCATGCGGAGAGACACACACACACACACACACACACACACACGCCTCAGCACGCACACACTGCAGCGTGCTTTAACACAAAACCACTGAACAAACTCACACAGCGTTAAACCAACACAGGTTTATTAATGATACACACACATATCGCACAAATATGTATTTGATAGCAAACACATGCATTCATATACAGTATCAAAGTGCGCGCACACACACACACGTGCAGTTACACAAGTGACCATTCTGCAACACAATTCAAGAAAACCACACAAAGAAAGTGCACATCGTAAAATGGCACGTTGTAAATACAAACACCTACAGTGCAAGCTAGGCACACACACACACACACACACACACACACACACACACACACACACACACACACACACACACAGTCACACTCCTTCTGCCTCCCAGTCCAACACAAAGCACCCAGACTAACAGAAATAGGTATCCTGTGCCTGCAGGGCGCCCTCGCCCCCCGACCATCTGTGACGGGTGCCAACACACAGTGGGTGATATTTACATGGAGACCCCCCCCCTCTTACAAACAGGCGTAAAAAAAAAGAAATACCCACAAAGGGCCTCACCGATCGCTTGATCTCCCAAAACTCATTAAACATGCAGAAATATGCAAATATATGCACCTCTAGAAATCCACCTTGGGCCAGAGTGAGGGATCGTGCACGCGTGTTAAGGTGCGTGTGGCTGAGGGTACACGTTGGTGAGAATGAGCGTTCCAGTCTGGCAACTACATACAGAGGCTGTGAAAGCGCGCAGTTTGGTTACTTTTACAAGTAATGCAACTTTAGAAAGGCAGACTAACATCACGCCTCCACGAGGGAGATGCAAAGGCGGTCCTCTACCTTTCTCCTTGGTTCTGGTCGATGCGATTTCACGCTGGATGTCAAGTGGTGGCCAAAGCTGGGTTGCAAAATTCCCCTCCCACGTTGCCCTGTTTGCTGAAGTAAAGTAACAACACTAGTTTGGCAATTATTAAGTGAGGATTCAGGATGCGCTTTCCACTGTGCTGAGGTGTAGAACACAACCAGTCAATGGAATAGATTGTCAAGAAATGTGTCAACATGGCATAAAACAAATAAAACGCTGTTATGTAAAAACATCCTCATGTATTTTAGTATAAAGGGTGCACAGGCACAAACGATGTTGAGTAGTCCGTTGAGTGTGATTGAATTGATCAACTGTAGTTGGAGATTGTTTGCAATTTCGAATGGATTTTAAGAATATTTTACATTTTGCATTAAAAAAAGTAACATTATATTATAGACCCGCGCAGCCCGACGTTGTCATTGCTCGGGCCCTAAATGTAAAAAGGTTTTATCATCATGACGGAACTATTCTTGTAAACAGTAGAATATATAACAAAACAAGCTATGTCAGAACCATGAATGGTACGGATTGACTAATACATGGTTCCTACTGGCTGCATGTACAAATCAAACTACATAGTTCCTCCCTTATCTGCTTGTTATTCCATCATCAGTTTGTCACTGCGTGTGCAGTTTGTGCATCTCCAGACAAGCACCGGGGCTGATGAGGATAAACATATGATCTGTCAGTCACAGCCGGGAAGAGGGGCTGCCAGTGTGTGTGAGTGTGTGTATGTGTGTATGCGTGACTACGTGCCGCAGGCTATCTAATAGTGCCTGATAAATATAATTCCTTATCAGATCAGCACTAGTCACAGTCAGCTTGAGAGATATCGCTGCTCAAATGACCGCTGCACTACGCGCACACGCACACGCGCACACACACACACACACACACGCACACACGCCCACACACTCACTCTACATGGATGGATGCTCTTTCTCCCGTGAATGTCAAAAGAAAAGACACGCCTGCTCCCCGTTGGTCCCAGATCACAGCTTTGGTGTGGTATAACGGAACAAACAAAGTTTGATTTATATATCTGTGTGTTTTCATCTGGGTATATTGTGTAAAGCACTATAGTGCAGAAATGCTGCCCAAAAGTCTGCTCGTCAACATTATGAAAGAGACGTTTTTCTCTCACCTCAAGTAGTATCTAATAAGGCTTTCATGAAAATACATTTTCCTTTCATCTTTCCAGTCGGTGAGATGTCTCCACACCAATACCACGGTGGGACTTTGCGATTGTCTTTCATATTCCAATAAAAAAAGCAACATTTCAGTTTCATTTCGACATAAACCCCTCACAGTTTGTTCTGTTCGGTTGTAATGCACAGATTCCTGACAGATATACTTCCTTGAAGGTCATCTTTCATCTCTGTAAGAACCACAAACACGATTCTATCTACCTGCATTTTATTCAGGCAGAGATCTCCGGAAAAAAAACCCAATCAATCCCAAACTATCTGCAGGGATTTTGTATTTGGGTGAAACCATGAATTAAACCAGCCAGAACTAACGAACTAACTACACATAGTTTACTAATAGATGAACTTTCATATTGTCACGTTTCACAGTCCTATAGCATTAAGACAGAAAAGCACTAAAGGAAAAGACGAGAGGGAGACACTTGTGTGTGTGTGTGTGTGTGTGTGTGTGTGTGTGTGTGTGTGTGTGTACGAAGGAAGATGAAGGACACACGGTCAAAATAACATTTGATATACTTCCATCTGCTTATGAATGAATCCTTAATGGTTATCACAGATATTAATATTCATACAGCATTGATGTTAAATTCCATGGTCAGTCAGATCCGTGCAATTTAAATCCATACTGTACATTGCTGGCAAAATCCATCCTTATATTGTGGAACACCGCCTGCAATACTGTCTGTGATAAACAGCACAGAGTGAAGGCACCACAGATGGCGGTAGAGCGAGCAGAGGGGAGAGAGAGAGAGAGAGAGAGAGAGAGTATATTTCCAGCCATGTGGTCCCGTCTCCTTCACAGCGCTGGAAGGTCAGCTGAGCCTCGAGCCATAACACTCGCTCCCTCTTCACTTCAGTCGCGCTTTTATAGCGGCAGCACCACGGCGCTCTTTGACAATTGTCATCATGACGAATCAATATAGACCCTCCGCAGAGGCTCCTCTTCCTCCTCCTCCTCCTCCTCCTCCTCTCCTCTGCTGCCCCTGAGTTTTTAAAACAGTGATCCGGCAGATAGTCCGGTTAAAGTCTCTTCCCAGGGCCTCCATTTTATAGTCCACCCTTCACTCTCCAGCAGCCAGTCCAGCACGTCCTCTGTCTCGTCCTCCGTTTCTCTCCCTTGTCCTTTCAAGAGTTAATTGGCGTACCTCTGCAATTTTCTATTTTTGCAGCGGCACAGACAACGTCAAAAACAATCAAATAACAAGAAATGTTCACAATTGTGCCAAACACAATGGTTGTATTATTCCAGGTGTTTGGAATAGTCCTTCCTGTAGCTTGTATTGGCACAGTGAGAACGTTTTGGGTGAACCGTGATAGTGAATTGACTGAATCTGTAGTTTCACAGTTCATCTTTTAGGTGTGTGTCTCCTTTTCCTTTTTCTCTGTTCCTTCTTGCCAGAGTTGTAACACTCACACGTCCTATTTTCCCCACCTTGTAATTGTTTTTCTACATGTTTCTCTCCATTCCGCGGTAAAGTTGACAAACAGCGTAAAACCAATCAGTGAGTGTGTGTGTGTGTTTGCGGTGTGCCAAGGCATGCGGCACGTAAAATGCGAGCGTTAATTCGTGTTGCGACTCGCCTCGGCCCTCCGTTAATGAGCGGCGCCGTCGTTACGGCGCCCGGCTTCGCCGTGTTTCCTCCCCGTCTCTGTGACATACTGGGCCTTCGTAATTGGTCACAGAGGGGACAGTAAATCTGCGCGAGGACGTGGGAGAGACACAGCGACGGTGAGAAAGAATGTGTGCGTGTGTGTGTTTGCAGGAAGGTGTGTGTGTGTGTGTGTGTGTGTGTTTGCAGGAAGGGTGTGTGTGTGTGTGTGTGTTTGCAGGAAGGTGTGTGTGTGTGTGTGTGTGTGTGTTTGCAGAGGGTGGGTGTCTTTCATCTTCACAGCTTTCTATCTGTAAACCTCCAACTGTTAACAAGGACTGACGCCTATTTTTATGCACGCACACACACACACACACACACACACATATATATAAAAAGAGAGACCCCCCCCAGCTTCTACCACCCACACTTCTATACAGTAAATGACCTCAGCGCTCTACTGTCTATGAGTATGGATTCTAATCAGACGTCGGCAGTATTGTGTCTGTCAAACCCGGCCAAGGTTACTTAACCTTCCGTCTTAATTTCCCTCCCATTTTAGCTCATTCTTCCGTATCAAACATCCGCACATCTATGGGAGGAGGGAGAAGAAGAGTGTGTGGAGGAAAATGAAGATTGCCATGCTCGGCTGAAACTTGCAGATGAAAGTAGAGTATGATTCACATTGCTGCAAAGTGAACTGAACCGAGCTGCGCTATTTTTAAACTTCTTTATATCGCAGCTACTGGAGGGGGACCATATGAAGCGGAGCATTTTATTCCTATATCATGAGAGAAGGTATGTGAAATAAGCTAAATAGGCGGAAAATGATGTTGAAATGTGCATACAAGCTTTTTCAAAAAGATATTTTAGAAGAAGTCATTTTGAAGAATTGAGATAAGCAACATTTTTGAAGGGCACCTTCAATAATACATAGAACAAACAATACATACTTTTTTTTTATCATCGTTTCTCCTTTTTTTCTAGACTTCAGAGTAACTAAAACAGTGATTACCTTAAAAAGCTAAGCAAAGCATGGTGATGCTTAGCAGGTACCACCTTTAGCATGCTAACCTTCACTAACTAGCACTGCTGCTGTTGCTAAAGATCAACAACTACAGGAAAAAAAAAAGCAGCATATCTGAGAATACATTTCCCTTTGGTACCTTGAGGGACCAGAGGCCCCGCGGGTGCTCCCCCCAGCAGTGCACCGTCATCAGGGTCCAGTTTTTCAGGCCTGCAGCGGAGGCGTCGTTGGGCCGCGTATCCAGCAGCAGTGATACGGTGCCAGCTGGAGACTCCAGACTGATGGAGAGGTCGCCGCGGCACACGGCGTCGATGCTCACGCTCACCTGCTCACAGACGGGTGGCAACAAACGGGAAAGAAGCGAGGCGTGAACAAGGACAAAGATGGAGTGGTACAGATGTAGAGATGAAGCAGTGAAAGAAAAACACAGTGTGAACACGTTATTGTTCAGGCTTTCTCGTAAGTTAGACAGCCTGATAGGGAGCCATGAAGGCTGTTTTTTATTTCTTGGTAAACACACTTTACTTATTTATAACTTGACTTCTGACCCAGAAAAGTTTGACACTTGACATCCTTCTTTTTGAGAGTTTGATGACAGTTTATACCACTCGTGTCTGTAAGCTGAGTTAAATATCAAAATAGAGGCGGTTAGCTCATCTTAACATGGGGGAGATATAGAAGAGATGAATCTGTGCAGTTTGAATCCAAATTCAAGTTCAGGTTTTTTTTTGCTGTGCATGCAATGATTTGTCAATAATATGAGCTGAAGACAAAAGAAGCAAAAAGAAACAAAAATGTCTGAGGGAAATATGAATCAATGATTTAGATAAGCACATGCAACCCCCCCCAAAGCCCCCACCTCCATGATTCCCACCCAGTAAACACTCTCTCTGTCCCTGTTCATCACAAGCAGCACATCTGGTGTGACAATGGCACATCGCAGAGAGAGAGAGAGAGACACGCCAAGCCGCAAAAAGACTGACAGCCCGCTCCTGTTTACAGCGTGTTGCCACGGCAACACGTCCATCAATCACACCTCGCAGCGATGGCCTGACCCACGCTTTCTGCCAGGGAGCAGAGCCGCAAAGATGAAGCCATTTCAATTTACATGCCGACACACTTCCGCTCTCTCCCTCTCTCAATCTCTCTCTCGCTTCCTCGCTATTTGTAGGTAAGTACACACAACAAACTCACAAACATCCACTACTTGAGCAAACTCAGATGTGCACGTACACGGACACGAGTGACTGCTGCGACCGTCAAACATGAACTGACTGATGCGCTCAGCGGAACACAGTTTTGCCCGTTTCTGCAAATGACATCGCCGAAGCATTAAGCTTCACAGTCTGATCCTTTTTTTGTTTTGTATTGTCTTTTCTCCAACACATTGACACAGAAACACAGAAACACAGAAAACCATTTCCATGAATTGTTCAAGCTTCCATATTTACAGGCAGAAATGAATACACTTTGTTTGTATTTCTATAAAGTCAAGGGACATTGAAAGGCTGTAAAAGACAATTAACAGTAGATGCACAACACACAAATACAAGAAAACAGACCATACGTCGTCCTTCATTTTAAAAGATTTTTCCTTAATGTTTTAAAATACTCTTTCTTGCACAGAGTGACGTGAACATATGCTTGACGCACTCGTGTCTGTCCTTTGGAATATGAATCTACAGCCAGTGAACTCCGCTCATAGCAAAGAGACTCCCGGAAAAACCCAACCAGGACAAGTTTGGGTTTTGCTGGTTGCCTGGAAACCACAATTTCTAAAACTCATACAAACACAATTTAACATGTTAATCGGTGAGTTTGGTGCTGGCTGATGGGCTTTGGCACCTCTGAAGAGAGCCCGACTAGCTACACTAAGCTAAGCTAACCGATTGGTGGCTATATACGATCTAACGGACATACGAAACAGTGCTATTGATTTACTCATCAAAGTAAATATCTTACAAACCAAAAGGTCAAACTAGTTCTTAAGGTCTGCTCCAATAAGAGTAGTTATCCATAGAAAGAAAACAAATCTGAGGGTGTCTGAAAACTGCCACCTGACCTGAACGTGCTCCAGAGTGTTGATGTCATCAGTCGTCCCGAGGCAGGCAGCTGATTGAAAGTCCACAGTCACCAAGCCCCCCGGAGAAAGGGTCCTGAGCAATGAGAAAATCATGGCTTAAGTCACCCCAGACCTTATTGTGGCACGTTTAATAGATTCTTATAGACATCTACTGTTACAAATATGCAGATACACACTAAGCATTGATGAAGACGAGATGGGTTTATGGCATCGTAATAGTCCAACCTGGTAGGAGTGAGTGGGCCTCCTTGCATGCACTTCCTCTGTGGCATGACAGTGCTGAAGTGTGCGGCCTGCTGTACCATCAGCCCTGCATCCAACAATCCAAAACCATACCTGCAACAAGAAGGTGTGTTTATGTGTAGGATAAAGAAAAGCATCCTTATGTCCCTCACACACACACACACACACACACACACACACACACACACACACCCGTGAGCTGGAGGCTTCTCACGTAGGCGGCTGAAAGTGCTGCAGGATGCGACATGAGGAGGCAACAAGTCATTGACGAAGACGATGTCCTCTGACACAATGGCTTCCTGCTCCGTCCTGGATGAGGCTGAGGGCTGCTGTTGGTACCGCCTGTAATTGCCTGCAGGATTGATTCTGAACAATGTGCCATCTCACGGACTGTAATCAAGCCTCATTATTCATTCTTTATTCTCTGGGTGCCGGAGACACAATGGCCGACCCTTAAAGCAGCGTGGCGACGGTATGACCGCCGCCTATCTTACTCCTTCTCCTCCACTCTGCCTCTCCGGCTTCTCCGCCTCTTTACGTGTCTATTGAATCTTTCATCTTTCCTCTTCGCTGTGTGCTTTTCACAGAGCGGCCTGATATTCAGTGTTCCTTTGCCTTTCTAAAGTCTCACTCTCCTCCAGAAACTGCATTTCTTGCATCACAACCCTCCTCGGCCACTCCGGCGATGCCGCAATCTCGTCTTAATTGTCCCTCACATCTTTGATTTTCATGCACATTATCTCTTTCGGCTCCCTCTGGTTAAAATCGCAGCCCTCTGACTGAGTAACAGGGCTGTAACAACCTCCATCCTCCCTACACCCCCTCCTCGTGGAAATCCAGAGGGGGTGACAAAGAGCTAATTTCTGCCATTATTACCATAGAGACCGTATGCCGTTAATCTGCAATAAGTGAAATTCATTATCCTGATGACGGGGTCTCTGGGAGCAGCGGAGGGAGAGACAGAGACAGGAGAGAGGAGAGAGCTGATCAATAACTCAATCTGCTGCCCTGCATGGTGCTCCATCTCCTCCGTCAGCGTGTCTGAGGAGAGGAGGCAGGAGCTGCGGCGCTCCTCACAGCACGCCGGGGCGATCAATGGACGCAATCTAATCAGGCAACACCGCCGCCGCCGCCGACTTTTAGCATGTGGGGCCAACATAATGGCATTAGGCAGCAAGTGTGAAGGGTTGAGGTGTGCCGCTAAAGTTCAAGGTCACATCGCGGAGGGAGGCGTTTGTCACAGAACAGACCAGAGAAATGAGGAGAGGACTGACGCGCATCCTTAATATAGAGCTAAACGCAGCATCATTTGGCTCTCCAGGTTCCTAATGTGCTCGTGGTAGATGACTGGAGACAAAAGTGGTTTTTATCAAGTAATCAATGTTTGTTAGAAGTCACCAGAATGAACTGAATTACAAGAAACTGTTTACCTGAATCCTCTCAAATACGTGTTCAAAGATTCAGTGAAAGTTAAAAACTAAATTACAAAACAGTTCTTGGTGCATTTGACACCGTAGAGAGGCACACAGTGCTTTATAAGTAGAGAGAAGGGTCACATGATACGGGTTCCAAGCTGGAGTCATCTCGTTCATAAAGACACCTGTCTCTGAAAACAATGCAAGGGTTGTGTTGTTTTTGTGGCGGTTGTTGGACGGTTGTTTGGGATGCAGGACGGCGTGAGTAACAGATCCCAGAGACGGCTCATCAGACGCCAAAGTCATTAATAAGTCTTATAGAATCTAAGCAATATTATAATTATTGTATGTGTCTTAAAAACTAAAGGAGTCCTGGTATTTCTGAAAATTCTTCACCATTGTTCAAAATAATGTTCAAGATCAGATCTAAAGATAATTTGATACAATGTTCTTTATTTTCATTTCATCCAACAGACACTGACAAAACACCGGTGACGATCAGTGCCAGAGTGTGTACTAAAATGTACACGCAAAACCAGAGCAATAACAACCGATCACCAAAGCTATTTGACAGTCGGGGGAAAACTGATCATCTGAAACTGTTGGGGAGCCGGGCTTCCCATCCTGCTCGATTAAACATACCTTCCCCAGCCCGAACCCGTTGGCCAGAGCTGTGCACCTATTAAGTTCTACAGCTCCCACAGATCGATGGGGCTCGCTCCAGCTCCACGGCCGTAAACCCGCTATCTGATTGAGAAAGCTTCAAGCTGAAACAGGTTCAGCCACGACAGAACATGATGAAGACAGACAGATATGATGTCACCTGACGTGTCCGTGAGACACCGCCGCTCCGAGAAAGACTCCCCGACCCTTTGCATCCATCTCATCATGTTCTCATCATCTCATCACCGCTACTTTAAGCAAGTGCCTTGTGTGTAAATGTTTACAGACTGAATAGATGTCGTGATGTGTGTGAGTAGGTACATCACAGGATTTGTAATACAGTGTTAATGAATGTGATTGATATTTAACGTGATAGAAACCCACAAAATGCAATTTGTGTCAAGCAATTAGTCACAAAACACAGTCGTCAAATCCTCAAGTTGTTCCTTCTCCACCTCCTACGTGGTCGGAGTGACAGCTGATCTTCTGTCCACGCAGCGCGCGAGACCCCGGCCCCCCCGCCTCCGCAAATATCAAATCTCTCGCATATTTTCTCTCTCCGCTATTGCTTCTCTGCAGCAAATTCCCTCGCAGACTCTCACTTCCTCATTCTTATTATCCATTGGGATGAAGGCCACTCCCCCCCCCCCCTCCTCCATCCCCTCCCTCCCCTCCGACCGCTCCATGGGGCCTCTTTGTAACTGTCGAGGAACCCCTTTCACTTTTTGTTGAGCGGACCTTGGCGGGTCTTTTCTCCGTTGATATTCACACCATCTGCCAGCAGCAGAGGAAGATGCACGCAGGCCGACCAGCACTGAGACGTCCACATCTCCAGGGCTGAGCGCCTCGCTGGCTGCACATGGCCTCAACTACAGTTTTTTACAACTGGTATACGGCAAACAAAACTGTTTTTTTATTTTATTTCAGCAACCCAGGGACCTGGCTGCTGCCGCATCACCCCTTGTTTTTCAGTGGTACGTCCTGCTAAGTCCCCCCCCCCCCCTCTCAATAAAAGTGTCTGTAAAGAATCACTCAAGCCGCACTAAGCAGCTGCCTGTGAGTTAGGTCATTTTCCCAGGAGCCACAGAGTGGGCATTGGCAGGACCTCAAAAAGAGGGGACACCATCTGTTCAGCGCCTGAAAAGGTTGGTGACACCTTCTGTGGTACCAACAACTTCTAATTAAGTGGCCAGGAATGCAGCAGCAACTCCATGGCATGATTGGTGGGCTCGCCTTAGTTATCCTGACGACAACACAGCAGACCCCCGGTCGGTTTCACGCATCTCGCCATCACATCTGCCCTGGGCTAATGAAAAATGAGCAAAAAAAAAAAACTATAAACACTTGATGGAGGTGACACTTGACTGTAGAAGTGAACAAAAACTATATTAACGAGCGTTTTCTATGTTGTACCCCTTAATTGAATGTTAATTAGGAGCATAGAGAACTGCATTAGCCCTTTGGTCGATCCCCGCGTGGTTTGTTTCTGTTATATCATGATGCACTAATTTCATTAATATCAGGATTTTAATGAAATAACAAATGGACTTAACATTCTTCTGACTTCCATCGCTCTTACAGCCAAATCTGCTCCACAGAAATGTTACTAATTAGGCCTATTAAGTAATTAAGAAGAGGTCTTAATTATATCTGCGCCACTGGGACCAACACGGCTGTAACCATGAAATGCTGCTCCGCGCCGCTTTGTTGGGTTGGATGTTATACAATTTAATCCATTTAATTGTTCTGAATGTGTGTGTGTGTTTTTTAAAGAGAAAACTGATTTTGGATGTGTTTTTGGGCCGTATTAAGCTCAATTTGCCTCACTGGAAATTAGAGCGAGAGAGAGGAAAGACGCGGCGGCCTTCGAACGGCACAGCCTTAAAATGTCAAGTGAATTATCTTAGAGTGAAAAGTTTAATGAAATATATTGCGCTGAGTCAAATGAGGGGTTTGGCACAGGCCCGGCCATAGTCTCAGGAGAATGGCCACCAAACGGCCGTCTCAGTCGCTCCAGCCATCAATCACAGCAGCAGCACAAGGAGACGTCTCTGGAAGCCGCGATGATCGATACCCCGTGACCTCACTCTCAGTGTCCACCATATTTTGATTTGTAGCTTGAGTGTTATTCAAACACAAATTCAAAAGAGGATGAAATTCAGGAGAGAGCTTTTGTTGGACGCCAACCAAGGTGCAGTCCTTTTAGATGTCTCTGTCCTTGTGGGGACTAAGGGAACGGGGGGAGGTTGTGTGTGTGTGTGTGTGGGGGGGGATGTGGCTGCCGCTTCCCTCCTGGGTCCCGAATGCTTTTCTTACCCTCCGGACAAAGCAAACACGTAACCACAACCCTTTGTTTGCCTTTTCAAAACACACAACTTTTCCGACGCCACATCACTAAATGTGAGGGAGAAAACAAGATGTACACAAGTTGTTTTTGTGTATTTGTTGAACGGTCAAACATCTGCTACATGAGTTTGTCATGGAAGCCACAAAGAATTCAAAAGTTTGGTATTCTTTAGGTTGCATGAAATGGTTAGCAGCTATCCATAAACAGCAACATTACTCATGTTGAGGGTTATGCACCCTCAGCTGGAACCCAAATATGCAAGGTTGCATTACAAGTCTGTGACAGAAAAGGTTTTCTGTCACAGACTTATTTTCATCAGTCCAAAAATATTTTTTAAAACAATTCTCTAAAACGGATGTCCTTGGGTCACCAAAACGTGCAATGGGGCAAAACCAAATAACATTGAATATTCGTGGTCATCGCTTATTGCTTCGCGTGGCAAGACTCAATGCTCAGTATGCAGGCGAAATGGGATTTAGCTAATCATACCGGTGACATAATTTAACTCGGAGCGAGAATAAAGGAAAGAGTTGAGCAGGATGAGTGCAGAAGCAGTTGTGGAACGTTATTCTGAAATGTCTAGCCCTCTAGTAAAATAGAAAAATTGCTTCTTGTACATGAATTATGCATTAGTAGAGGTTTGGAAGAGCACTGCGTCTCTACAACCC